GGGTGGGTGGGTGGGGCTAGCTCCTGATAAGATAAGACTGAATTTGGCAAGTGACACTTTCTAAGAAAATAAAGAGCGGGTGAGCAGGGGTAGTACTTAGAAAAATAAGACTGAACAATGTTAACCGTAGTCACTAGCATAAAGTAGATGGACGGAGCTAATGTTTACTCATACGACTGTAGAAAAAAAGTACTTCAGGAGCGAAGGAAGTTCTGTCGAAACAGCTTTGGACTTTTTTTTTTTTTGAATGTGAAACCTCGAGGGTTCCAACCCAACTGTCTTTTTTAAAAATGTAAAATCTTCTAGGGAACCCCAAATGTCTTTTTTAATGTGAAGCCTTCTCAGAGGTCCTAACTGTCTTTTTTTAAGAATGTAAAACCTTCCCGAGGACCCCACAAGTTTTTTTTTATGTAAACCCTTCTCACAGGTCCCAATTTTCTTTTTTTAAAATGTAGAACCTTCTCGAGGGCGCCAAATTTTATAATTTTTCAGAGAAGCAGTATTATTATTTTTTTAAGGACTAAGTTCTGTTAGCTGCCAGTCTCACTCTACAGAAGAATATATATTAACCCCACCCACCCACCCCACCTCTACTTCACTGGTTAATTTTATCTGCTCCTAATCTGCACTGAATAGAAATAAAATTTGAAAAAGGGCGGGTAGGCGGGGCTAGCATTTGCTAAGAAAAGGCTGATTTTGGCAAATAACATGTTCAGTAAGAAAACAGTGGGTGGGTGGGTGGGTGGGTGGGGCTAGTACCTAATAAGATAAGACTGAATTTGGCAGATGACACTTTCTGAGAAAATAGAGGGCGGGTGGGCGGGAGTAGTACTTACAAAAATTAGACTGAACAATGTTAACCGTAGTCACTAGCATAAAGTAGATGGACGGAGCTAATCCTTACTCATACGACTGCAGAAAAAAAGTACTTCAGGAGCGAAGGAAGTTTTGTCGAAACAGCTTGGACTAATTTTCTTTTTAATGTGAAACCTCGGGAGTTCCAACCCAACTGTCTTTTTTTAAAAATGTAAAACCTTCTAGGGAACCCCAAATGTCTTTTTTAATATAAAACCTTCTCAGAGGTCCTAACTTTCTTTTTTTAAGAATATAAAACCTTCCCGAGGACGCCAAAAGTTTTTTTTTGTAACGTGAAACCTCGGGGTCCCAATTGTCTTTTTTAAAAATGTAGAACCTTCTCGGGGTTCCCAACTGTCTTTTTTAAAAATGTGAAACATTCTCGGGGGTCCCAATTTTCTTTTTTTTTTTTTAATGTGAAACCTCAGAGGTCCCAATTTTTTTTTTTAATGTAGAACCTTTTCGAGGGCGTCAAATTTTATAATTTTTCAGAGAAGCAGTATTATTATTTTTTTAAGGACTAAGTTCTATTAGCTCCCATTCTTACTCTACAGAAGAATATATATTAACCCCGCCCACCCACCCCACCTCTAGTTCACTGATTAATTTTATCTGCTCCGAATCTGTACGGAACAGAAATAAAATTAGGTAAAGGGAGGGTGGGCGGGGCTAGCACTTGCTAAGATAAGGCTGATTTTGGCAAATGACATATTCTGTAAGAAAATAGTGGGTGGGTGGGTGGGGCTAGCTCCTGATACGATAAGACTGAATTTGGCAAATGACACTTTCTAAGAAAATAAGAGGGCGGGTGGGCGGGTGTAGTACATACAAAACTAAGACTGAACAATGTTAATCGTAGTTACTAAAATGAAGTAGGTGGGCGGAGCTAATGCTTACTCATACGACTGTAGCAAAAAGTACTTCAGAAGCGAAGGAGGTTCAGTCGAAACAACTTTCGACTATTTTTTTTAGAATGTGAAACCTCAGGGGTCCCAACCCAAATGTCTTTTTTAATGTGAAACCATCTCGGAGGCCCCATAAGTCTTTTTTAAAAATTTAGAACCTTTCCGAAGATCCCAAGTATCTTTTTAACAAATGTAAAACTTTCTCTGGAACCCCACATGTCTTTTCTTTAATGTAAAACCTTCTCGAGGGTCCCGATTGTCTTTTTTAAAAATGTAAAACCTTCTCTCCGGTGCCAAATGCCTTTTTTAAGAATGTGAAACCTTCTCGGGGGTCCCAACTGTCTTTTTTTTTAATGTAAAACCTTCTAGGAAACCCCAAATATCTTTTTTAATGTGAAACCTTCTCAGAGGTCCTAACTCTCTTTTTTTTAAGAATGTAAAACCTTCCCGAGGACGCCAAGTTTTTTTTTTTTTTAATGTGAAACCTCGGGGTCCCAATTGTCTTTTTTAAAAATGTAGAACCTTCTCGGGGTTCCCAACTGTCTTTTTTAAAAATGTGAAACATTCTCGGGGGTCCCAATTTTCTTTTTTTTTTTTAATGTGAAACCTCAGAGGTCCCATTTTTTTTTTTTTTTTAATGTAGAACCTTTTCGAGGGCGTCAAATTTTATAATTTTTCAGAGAAGCAGTATTATTATTTTTTTAAGGACTAAGTTCTATTAGCTCCCATTCTTACTCTACAGAAGAATATATATTAACCCCACCCACCCACCCCACCTCTAGTTCACTGATTAATTTTATCTGCTCCGAATCTGTACGGAACAGAAATAAAATTAGGTAAAGGGAGTGTGGGCGGGGCTAGCATTTGCTAAGATAAGGCTGATTTTGGCAAATGACATATTTTGTAAGAAAATAGTGGGTGGGTGGGTGGGGCTAGTTCCTGATAAGACAAGACTGAATTTGGCAAATGACACTTTCTAAGAAAATAAGAGGGCGGGTGGGCGGGTGTAGTACATACAAAACTAAGACTGAACAATGTTAATCGTAGTTACTAAAATGAAGTAGGTGGGCGGAGCTAGTGCTTACTCATACGACTGTAGCAAAAAGTACTTCAGCAACGAAGGAAGTTCTGTCGAAACAACTTTCGACTAATTTTTTTTAGAATGTGAAACCTCAGGGGTCCCAACCCAACTGTCTTTTTTAATGTGAAACCATCTCGGAGGCCCCAAAAGTGTTTTGTAAAAATTTAGAACCTTTCCAAAGATCCCAAGTGTCTTTTTTACAAATTAAAACCTTCTCGGGAACCCCACATGTCTTTTCTTTAATGTAAAACCTTCTCGAGGGTCCCAATTTTCATTTTTTAAAATGTAGAACCTTTCCGAGGATGCCAAAAGTTTTGTTTAAAATGTAAAACCTTCTCGAGGGTCCCAATTTTCATTTTTTAAAATATAGAACCTTTCCGAGGATGCCAAAAGTTTTGTTTAAAATGTGAAACCTTCTCGAGTGTCCCAATTTTCATTTTTTAAAATATAGAACCTTTCCGAGGATGCCAAAAGTTTTGTTTAAAATGTAAAACCTTCTCGACGGTCCCGATTGTCTTTAAAAATGAAAAACTTTCTCGGGCATCCCAACTGTCTTTTTAAAAAATGTAAACCTTCTGTAGGGTGCCAAATGTCTTTTTTAAGAATGTGAAACCTTCTCGGAGGTCCCAATTTTCATTTTTTTTAAAACCTTGAGGACGCCAAAAGTTTTTTTTTAGAATGCGAAACCTTCTCGGGGGTCCCAATTTGCTTTTTTTTAAATGTAGAACCTTCTCGGGGGCGCCAAGGTTTTTTTAAGAATGTGAAATCTTCTCGGTGGTCCTAACTGTCTTTTTTAAAAATGCAAAACCTTCTCTGGGGTGCTAAATGTCTTTTTTTTAATGTGAAACCTTCTCCGGGGCCCCAATTTTCATTTTTTTAAATATAGAACCTTCTCGAAGACGCCAAAGATTTTTTCTTAATGTGAAACTTTCTCAAGGGTGCCAATTTTCTTTTTTTTTAAATGTAGAACCTTCTCGGGGGTGCCAAATGTTTTTTTAAGGGTGTGAAGCTTTCTTGGGGGTCCCAAATGTCTTTTTTCAATCTAAAACCTTCTCGGGGGCCACAAATGGCATTTTTTTTATGTGAAACCTTCTCGGGGGTCCCAATTGTCTTTTTTAAAAATGTAAAACCTTCTCAGGGGCGCCAAATGTCTTTTTTAAGAATGTGAAACCGTCTCGAGGATGCCAACTGTCTTTTTTAAAAATGTAAAACCTTCTCGAGAACCCCAAATGTCTTTCTGTGTGAAACCTTCTCGGAGGTCCCAACTGTTTTTTTTTTTTTTTTTATGTAAAACCTTCTCAGGGGTGCCAAATGTCTTTTTTATGAATGTGAAACCTCCTCGAGAGTCCCAACTATCTTTTTTTTAAGAATGTAAAATCTTCTGGGGAACCCCAAATGTCTTTTTAATTTTTCAGAAAAGCAGTATTCTTGGACTACTTCGGAAGCCAGGGAAGTCTATCGAAATAACTTTCGAACAATTTTTTCGATTTGTCTCTATGAGTTTCCTTTCTGCTGCATAATTTCTTTGATCAATCTTGAAATTACATCTCAATTTGGTTTCCGTTTTGTCTTTTCTCCTTATCCATGTTTCGAACCTGATCTGAGCTGGTCCGAGTATGACCTGACGCAATCTAAGCTTGTCTGGCCTGATCTCAGCTAGCCTAGCCTTACTTGACCTAACCTGACCTGACCTGACCGGACCTGTCCTGACCCGATCTGACCTGACCTGACCTGAGCTGGCCTAGCCTTACTTGACCTAACCTGGCCAAAAATTCTTAAAAGAGAAATTCAAACAGAAAACTTTGACAGTTGGTCTGGATACGACCTTTTCCTTCATCTGGAACATATATCGATTCACAAAATCAGCCGTAGTGAGGTCATAGCAGCCTGACCTGACCTAGTATGTTGTTGTGTGACCGTATAAGAATTATCCTTCTGCAAAAAAATCTATTTGGTCTATGGCTGGGTTCAAAATACTTACAAAGTGTACACAATTGTCTTTCCAGAATGGAAACATCTTCTAAAAGATATAATTTCTGGGTTAAATCGGTATACATTTTAAAGAATACATAATAAAGATAATGATCGCTTGCTTTAACTTTCCCACTTTTCTTTCCAGCATATCTTTCGATCAATCTAACTAACAATTTCTATTCCAGACGAAGTGGACGTCATCGGCTACACGAGCACCCAGAGCGACACAGACGACCACTCCAGCGTCCAGTCGACGTCCAGCGACAGCGGGGTGGCAATGTCGACCAGCCGCCTTACGTTATCCGAGATGGACGTCATGGACGTGCTGTAGACGACCGATAGACGGACGTGCCCGGGCTGCAGACGCGCCTCCAGCCAGTATATAGATAGCCTTGATGGCACCCGCGCGACGTGTCTGCCCTAGTCAACGAACACATCTCTGTCTGTCTATCTGTCTGTGCGCCACCTCCAAATTATCATCGTATTCACAATATAAATTATTATTTATGTACATTGTAAATATTTTAAATCTAAATCAGAGTATGAATAGTGTTATTATTACCGAGGCGACCTGACTGCCTGCGGGCCGCGCGCGCGTTTTCTTATACCTCGTTCTCACTAATCGACCCCTACACGTTTCTTACCACTTCTGTTTTTCGTTTACCATTGACCATTCGAGAAGGCCCTCGAGAGGGCGCCCAAGCACCGGCCATTCGAACAGGGATTCGGAAGCTTCTAACGGAAAACGTTCATCGAAGTCTCCCAGTTGACCTGGGTACGACCTTTTCCTTCGTCTGGGACATATCTTGATTCACAAGCACCGACATACCAAGATTAAGGAGGGACTACCGCGAAAGGTTTTCTGGAAGAATTTTTCTTGTCAGTCGAGGTTTTCGGTCATGAACAAGCTAGCAAGAACGGAAGCTTCTGGGGATATTCTAACAGAAAACCTTCACGGGAGTCTCTCAGGAGGACGTTCATTAAGGAGAAGTGGTTACCAGGAGACTTCCACGAAGAGTTTTCTGGTTGACTTTTCCGGATCGAGGTTTTCGCTCATGAAACTTTCGTAGGAGTCTCCCAGTTCGACTGGGAGACTTCCACGTGGAGTTTTCTGTTGTAATGTTGTTCGTAGTGTGAAAAGTCGGTTTAGTTGTTGCGACGCGTAGATCGGCGCTAATTAAGTGAAGGACTCGTTCGACGCATCAGTAGACGGTTTAGAGTTGGTGAGCTCGGCCAGTTGGGCTCCAGAGAAGTCTGCAGCGCTCGCGTGCCCATGAGTGCTCCCAGAGCACACAAAATCAACTCCTTGTGGAGTAAAAACATAATAATTATAATTTGTAAAAAGAACAAATACTGTACAGTGTGTTTAAAGAAGCAAACGAGAGAGGGCGTGGGCGGCGGGCCATCCCCTTGTCAGATCTCGGGCCCGTCGTCGCTCCAACATCTGATAGCATTCAAAGAGTACAAATTCTTATACGCCTCCGCCCTTACGGATGGGGGTTTTATATTTTATAAGCCGTGGACGGGTCCCGGTGTTCCTGCGACCCGTCTCCGCAGAACTGAGCCTCTTTTGATTAGGCGTGAATGTGCATTGCGTGTTTGGGAGATTGACAGGTGATTGCACGGTGTTGTTATTATGTGAGCGTCGAGGTGCGTCGGCGCAGTCGCCTCCGGGTCCTCCATGACTATATCCACTTATTTTTGTAAAGTACTCAAGTTCGAGGTAGTCTGTCCGTACTGTCGCGCCCGGCGACTGCAGCGCCACCTCGCCGCGTTTTCTATAAATGTCCGCTTCTCTTAGCCAACAGTCGCAATCTATAGGATTCTTTCAATGTCTGTTTACTTATACATCAAAATGCTTTTTTGCAAAACATAATAATATGAATGTATATTACTGATCACTTGTGTTATCTGACTGACGTGGTGGCAGCAATATGAATTGATACAGTGTTGAATATTGCCACATCCGAGTCGATACTTGAATGTCTATACGTGTCTCTTAGATAAGTTAGGGTGTAGGTAATTCCCACCTTCAAGACATCTTGCTGCTTTATGTTTAGGACAGTCGCTTCCCTCCTGAGGTCGCGCGCCGACACCCTCTCGAATGACCTCTCTTGTATGTACCTGCCGGCACAAAAATACGATATTATGAGCGAGACGTGTGTTTGTTTACTCTCGTTACATTCGAGACTCGTGCACAACTCTTCTTCACGTTAGAACCATTCCATTTTGTGCCCAATACATTCGAGAGGCGTGTCGGGACGCCATCGAAACCTAGTTATTAGATCAGCACTCCTGTCACCTGCATCAACTCTTCATTGGTTGTATGAGATAATTAATTGTACATAAATACTTGTAACTATTCATATTGCATTGTTCTTATGTTTTATCATTATTTTTCAATTATATACAAATAAAAATTTGTGTACTATTATTAGTTACTTAATTATTTCAAAATTTAGGTGTATCTCTATTGGATAAACGTTATAGATATGTTATTATTGCAAAAGGAAAACTCGTCCAATATTTATAAATTCCGTTACAAGTTTTGTCATCAGATTGTAAATTTTAATGCAATATTAGGTATTACTAAATATAAAATTAATTTAATTATAATCACGACTTTTCTTCACGGACTTACTAAATTCATAGGAAAACCAAAATCCACCAACGATTAAATCAAATCCAAACTACTTCTTTTGATGCGCTTTTTTAATTAAAATCATCTAATAAATAAAAAACAACGAGTCAAGTTCCGCATCAGATTAAAAAGAAACTTTATTAAAATTTACAATATAGTGCAACCCTCCTGTATCCTTCTGCATACCCAGCGAATTATTCGCAAATGACAACACAACAACCATAAGATAAGTTAAAAACAGGTAAGATATCAAAATTCCCGCTTCAAAACACCGGAACAAAATGGCTGAAGGTCACAAACATCAAAGGCAGCGACTCTTTGCTACAATGTCGACTTTCCGCATTAATTTGGCGCCAGACAGCGCAAAGCAAGTGTGGTTATTTTTGAATTCTGCGGCTCGACCAGCGAGTCTCATTTTCACTTATTTACGTACTAAATTTTATACGACCACAGTAGCTTCCAGTTTGACAAGTGACACCCGCAGGGAAAACATTCGCACGTGACCACTGCACGTGACCTCCATGAAAATGTTCACATTATTAACCGGTGAAATAAAACGGGCTTTTATTCCATTACGACGTGGTTTTTTATACCGTTTTTGGCGATCGATGCGAAAAAATCTTGATGCTGGTAAAGTAGCCGTCGAGGAAAAAAAAAGCGCGTTTGTATACTACATTAACGTTTTCTATGTTTATGAGAGCTATCGTAATGTTTTGGGTTTTAGTCTGGATGAGGGGTTTTTTTGGTGGTTTTTGTTTGGGTTGCTTTTTCCCGTGATGGGTTACATGTACATAAATAATTATGGGGTCAAACTAGGTTTTTTTTTTGTTTATTTATAATTTATTAATGAAATTAATACATTTTTGTGTGTCGTCCTGTCCGCCGTATTTTCCGATACGTATGGAAAAATGATATCAGTAGCGTGCTATTTAGATCTTTGTAGTTCTAAATGGAATGAGTAATTACAGTTATCACTTCTATCATTTATTGAGGACAAGAGCTGTTGATCGCTTTGTAAAAATGAATGTTATTGTTTTAAATGGTAAAAGGGTGTTTTTCTGCTTTGTTATCTTGACACGCAACCATCTAGGTTCTTCCATGTGATCGAAAAAAAGTCATCGAGCGAGCTTTGAAATTTAATGTTACAAAAATAATGCTGGCAACACCAACTTTTTTTAACATTGGGTGCAAGTAATTCTAAGATAAGAATGATTTTGGCAAATGACATACCTTCCGAGAAAACAGAGGGTGGGTGGGCGGGGCTAGTATTTGATAAGATAAGACTGATTTTAACACAAAAAGTTACGATTAGCACTTTTTTTTTAATTTTTTTCACATGCTAGATTCTACTATTAGTTTCCATTCCCACTCAACAGAAACATTTTACTGGAATACAGTTAGTGAAATATAATGTAATCACTTGAGCTTTCAAAATTATTTCGAATTTCGATAGTTGTTGAGTCAAGACATTAAATTTGCTTGAAAACGAAAATTTTCGTAGTGAAAAATTAATAATTAGATTTACGATCTTTGGATTTGAAGATAATAATAATTAACAGTATTGCGATTACGAGTAATCACTAGAATGAAGAGGGGGTGGGTGGGCGGGGCTATTTCTTGCTTATAAAATACCCCTTAAGGAAAGTTTGAACTTTGCCCCGCCCACCCACCCGTTCTTTTTGTCTTCTGAAGTAAGAAATGCATTTTATAGCAAATAGTAAAACAAAACAAAAAGTACGAGTAGCGTTTTGTTAATTTGTTGCCACTTTATAGAACATAATTAACTCCGCCCACTTACCCCGCCTTCATTTTAGTGATTCATTGTATCTGAATGAAAAGTGGATTTTATACTCATGAACAGAACTAAAATCGTTAAAATGAGAACAGCGCGGGTGGGCGGGGCTAGAACCTGATAAGATAAGACTGATTTTGGCAAATAACAACCCTTTAGGTACTATCCTGTGCAAAGATAAGACTGAACAGTATTAAGAGTAGTTATTAGAATAAAGAGAGGGTGGGTGGGCGGGGCTACTGCTTGCTTATAAAAGACTCAGAATAAGAACAAGTTGACAGGTTACTAAACTTAAAAAATTGGTCGAAAGTTATTTCGACAAAACTTCCTTCGCTTCTGAAGTACAGTCCAACAAATAATACTGCTTCTCTGAAAAATTATAAAATTTGATTTTGCGGAATTTTACTTTTTCGTGAGAACCTCTTTGGAGTAAAAACAGTATAAAAGGTACTAGTCAGAGTATAATAGAAAAAAAGGTTTCACCTTCTTAAAAAAAGACAATTGGGAGCTTCGAGAAAATTTAATATTAAAAAAAAGGCACTTGGGGCCTCCGAGAAGGTTTCGCCTTTTTTAAAAAGGACAGTTGGTACCCCCGAGAAGGTTTCACACTCTTAAAAACGACATCTGGGCCCCCGAGAAGGTTTACCTTCTTAAAAATGACATTTGGCGCCTCTGAGAAGGTTTTACATTTATAAAAAAGACACTTGGGAACCCCGAGAAGGTTTTACATTTTTAAAAAAGACAGTTGGGAATCCTAAGAAGGTTTCACATTAAAGAAAAAGGACATTTGAGGCTCCCGAGAAGGTTTTACATCTTTAAGAAGACAGTTGGGACCCCCGAGAAACTTTTACATCTTTAAAAATGACAGTTGAGAACCCCGAGAAGGTTTTACATTTTTAAAAAAGACACTTGGGAACCCCGAGAAGGTTCTACATTTTTAAAAAAGACAATTGGGACCCCTGAGAAGGTTTTACATTTTTTAAAAAGACAGTTGGGAAACCCGTGAAAGTTTTACATTTTAAAAAAGACAATTGGGACCCCCGAGAAGGTTTTACATTTTTAAAAAAGACAGTTGGAAATCCTAAGAAGGTTTCACATTAAAGAAAAAGGACATTTGAGGCTCCCGAGAAGGTTTCACATCTTTAAGAAGACAGTTGGGACCCCCGAGAAACGTTTACATTTTTAAAAATGACAGTTGAGAACCCCGAGAAGGTTTTACATTCTTAAAAAAAACAGTTGGGGCCCCCGAGAAAGTTTTACATTAAAAAAAAAACAGTTGGGACCCCCGAGGTTTTACATTTTGAAAAAGACATTTGGGAGCCCCGAGCAGGTTTTACATTTTTAAAAAAAGACAGTTGGGAATCCTAAGAAGGTTTCACATTAAAGAAAAAGGACATTTGGGGCACCCGAGAAGGTTTTACATCTTTAAAAAAGACAGTTGGGACCCCCGAGAAACTTTTACACTTAAAAAAAAAGTCGGGACCCCCGAGAAGGTTTCACATTAAAAAAAGACAGTTGGGACCCCTCAGAAGGTTTTACATTTTTTAAAAAGACAGTTGGGAAACCCGTGAAAGTTTTACATTTTAAAAAAAGACAGTTGGGCCCCCCGAGAAACTTTTACATTAAAAAAAAACAGTTGGGACCCCCGAGAAGGTTTTACATTTTGAAAAAGACATTTGGGACCTCCCACCAGGTTTTACATTTTTAAAAAAAGACAGTTGGGAATCCTAAGAATGTTTCACATTAAAGAAAGAGGACATTTGGGGCACCCGAGAAGGTTTTACATCTTTAAAAAAGACAGTGGGACCCCCGAGAAACTTTTACATCTTTAAAAATGACAGTTGAGAACCCCGAGAAGGTTTTACATTTTTAAAAAAGACACTTGGGAACCCCGAGAAGGTTCTACATTTTTAAAAAAGACAATTGGGACCCCTGAGAAGGTTTTACATTTTTTAAAAAGACAGTTGGAAATCCTAAGAAGTTTTCACATTAAAGAAAAAGGACATTTGAGTCTCCCGAGAAGGTTTTACATCTTTAAGAAGACAGTTGGGACCCCCGAGAAACTTTTACATTTTTAAAAATGACAGTTTAGAACCCCGAGAAGGTTTTACATCTTTAAAAAGACATTTGGGACCCCCGAGCAGGTTTTACATTTTTAAAAAAAGACAGTTAGGAATCCTAAGAAGGTTTCACATTAAAGAAAAAGGACATTTGGGGCACCCGAGAAGGTTTTACATCTTTAAAAAAAACAGTCGGGACCCCCGAGAAGGTTTCACATTAAAAAAAGACAGTTGGGACCCCTCAGAAGGTTTTACATTTTTTAAAAAGACAGTTGGAAATCCTAAGGTTTCACATTAAAAAAAAAGGACATCTGAGGCTCCCGAGAAGGTTTTACATCTTTAAGAAGACAGTTGGGACCCCCGAGAAACTTTTACATTTTTAAAAATGACAGTTAAGAACCCCGAGAAGGTTTTACATTCTTAAAAAAGACAGTTGAGGCCCCCGAGAAACTTTTACATTAAAAAAAACAGTTGGGACCCCCGAGAAGGTTTTACATTTTGAAAAAGACATTTGGGACCTCCGAGCAGGTTTTACATTTTTAAAAAAAGACAGTTGGGAATCCTAAGAAGGTTTCACATTAAAGAAAAAGGACATTTGGGGCACCCGAGAAGGTTTTACATCTTTAAAAAGACAGTTGGGACCCCCGAAAAACTTTTACACTTAAAAAAAAAGTTGGGACCCCCGAGAAGGTTTCACATTAAAAAAATACAGTTGGGACCCCTGAGAAGGTTTTACATTTTTTAAAAAGACAGTTGGGAAACTCGTGAAAGTTTTACATTTTAAAAAAGACAGTTGGGACTCCCGAGAAGGTTTTGCATTTTTAAAAAAGACAGTTGGAAATCCTAAGAAGGTTTCACATTAAAGAAAAAGGACATTTGAGGCTCCCGAAAAGGTTTTACATCTTTAAGAAGACAGTTGGGACCCCCGAGAAACTTTTACATTTTTAAAAATGACAGTTGAGGACCCCGAGAAGGTTTTACATTCTTAAAAAAGCTTTACATTTTTAAAAACGACACTTGGGGCCACCGAGAAACTTTTACATTAAAAAAAAACAGTTGGGACCCCCGAGGTTTTACATTTTTAAAAAGGACAATTGGGACCCCCGAGAAGGTTTCGCATTAAAAAAAATACATTTGGGGTTCCCGAGAAGGTTTTACATTTTTAAAAAGACAATTGTGAACGTTGAGAAGGTTTAAAATAAAAAAAAAAAGACAGATGGAACCCCAAGAAGGTTTTACATTTTAAAAATGACAGTTGGGACCCCCGAGAAGGTTTTACATTTTTAAAAAGGACAGTTGGGAATCCTAAGGTTTCACATTTTTAAAAAAGACAGTTGGGAATCTTAAGAAGGTGTCACATTAAAGAAAAAGGACATTTGGGGTTCCCGAGAAGGTTTTACATCTTTAAAAAGAGAGTTGGGACCGCCGAGAAGGTTTCACATTTTTAAAAAAGACAGTTGGGAATCTTAAGAAAGTTTCACATTTTTAAAATAGACAGTTGAGAATCTTAAGAAGGTTTTACATTAAAGAAAAAGGACATTTGGGGCTCCCGAGAAGGTTTTACATCTTTAAAAAAGACAGTTGGGATCCCCGAGAAACTTTTACATTTTTAAAAATGACAGTTGAGAACCCGGAGAAGGTTTTACATTCTTAAAAAATATATTTGGAGCCCCCGAGAAACTTTTACATTAAAAAAAAAATTGGGACCCTCCTCTCTCTCTCTCTCTCTCTCTCTCTCTCTCTCACGAAAATCCTCAAATTCTTTCTCAATACATCAAAATCCTCAGCCTAAAAATACCAAATTCTCCAAATCCTCAAAACTCCAAAATCCCGAAATCCTCAAAACTCCAAAATCCCCAAATCCTCAAAATATCAAAGTTCTTAAAACACCAAAATCCCCAATTCATCAAACACCAAAATCCCCAAATCCTCAAAACACAAAAATCTCCAAATCCTCAATACACTAAAATCTTCAACTCCTCAAAACATCAAAATCCTCAAATCCTCAAGACACCAAAATCTTCAAATCCCCAAAACATCAAAATCCCCAAATTTCAAAACATTAAAATCCCAAAATCCTCAAAACACGAATATCCTGAAATTATCAAAACACCAAAATCCCCAAATCCTCAAAACACGAAAATCCCCAAATCCTCAAAACACGAAAATCTCCAGATCCTCAACACACTAAAATCTTCAAATCCTCAAAACATCAAAATCCCCAAATCGCCAAGGCACGAAAATTCTCGAATTCTCAAAACACCAAAATCCCGAAATCCTCAAAACATCAAAGGCGGAATTTAGTTTTTCTCTACAAGAAATTACCATATGAAATAGGTTTTTGAAAGAGTAGAATTGTTTAGAGAAATATAGATGTTAACAATTAAACTCCGCCTTTAAAAAGTCATCACAATTAAGATCGGGGCGGGTGGGTGGGGCTTAACTTTTTTTTTTAATATATAGAGTGTTCTTTCAACAATAGGATAGTTAAACATATTGCCAGTTTTTTGTTAGAAGACTTCGTATATTAAAAAAAAATGCACAAAATAATTAAAAAATCGTTACAATTGAGATAGGGCGGGTGGGCGGGCTTAAATTTTGCTTTTTTGTTTTAATATGTGTAGCCTTCTTTTCACTTCATGGAACATAAAACATGTTTAAAATGGAAAATTTGCATCAGAAAATATCGATTTTGCACTAAGCTCCGCCCCATAATTGCAAAATCCACATTTCCTTGCATAAGTGTACCATTTTAACCATGTTTTAACTTTCTTGTTGTGAAAAGATGGCTATGTATATTATAAAAAAAAGCAATTGTAATTGTTGTAATTCATAATCGGTTAATTATAACTTGTGTAGGTCTAGGGCAGGCTTAGCATCCTCTAGTCTCCCCCTAACTACGGCCTTGTCTAAGGGTTATAAAATATCGAGAAAATATGAAAGTACCAAATTGCCTGATGGACTCCATTACTGTATGTCCTTAGGTTAACCTCGATAAGAAAAACAACTTGAAAGAATGTCACGTAGAAATTAGTTTGATTTGAATGAATTCGTCCCCTCAAAACTGAGGATCAAAACGATTTAGTAGTAAGCTACAATCGACAAAATGTTGTGAATATCGTTATTACTGAGGATCAAAACTATTAGTAGTAGTAAACTACAATCGACAAATTGTTCTGAATATCATTATTATAATTTTTATTAAATAAATTCGCTTTGCAAGAGTTCAAAGCATTCTGTTTTGCAATTTTTTGAGAATTTCTAGACTTTTTCAAAAATGAAGTTGTACAGTGTGATTGAGCTGTCAAATCGCGCGCCATCTTGTAAAATATTCACGAAGTATGCAAACGCTTGTCAAATACAACTTACGACGATTTCAATCATTATCAATCTCCGGATCAATAAATAAATAAAACCCCTTTTATAATAGATACTTTTATTTGAAAAATGTTCACCTATATTCAACATGTAACACGACATTAATCTACAAAAGTTTAACATGTACACAGTTCATAACTTCTTTTATTTTAATTCGCTTTACCATGTCTTGCAGCTATAAATTTAACAATAAAATATTCTCTCGCTATCGATAAATTGCACGAATAATGATAGGCTCGAACTTCAGCCACGAAGTTGGCCAAGCTGTAAATATAGTAATAGTAAAGCAGTAGAATATTTTGCTATTAAACCAAGTGTCTATATATAACATCAGCTTTGAATGGGCTAGAAAACCAAGAAGCAATAAATAAACTTGTTTGTCCAGCAGTCCATCTATCAACATTTTACGTGTTTTACGTGTCTTTGTTCGTCGTTACACAACACCATTTTTACAATATACAGCATGTAAATAAAAGACACACAACTTTTTAAAACAAATTACCAGCACAGAGCATTTTGTACATAGATATTACATTAGTTTAATATAAGACCACTTACATCTGTAAAGATGAATTGCACCTCGAGCCGCGCCGTACAAAGTTCAAACTCAACATAACCTCCAAGATACACGGAAAATATAAATGTTAATTCGAAGAATTGTATCAAACGTTATTGTATACTAAGATTAGGTACTACAAACAATATCACAAAGTACCATTTGGGTGGTGACCAGCACCGCTCACAGTTTCAGCTGCTCGTTTGAAACCAATTAAAAATAATAATAATAATACTGAAATCAGAGATTGTTGTAGATTTACGTTAGATTAATATCAATCTCAAGGGTTTTGAGATTCTGCGTTGAATAGTCGAATTTTTTGAACACTGAAACGTACTACACTAGAAATAATCTCGAATTTGTTGCTAAGTTAAATGAAGATCAACACTATATCGCCAAGTCATGGACTTGCGGTCCACCCTGTAATTAAATTGACGTAATATGGACAGTAATAACTCATTTACGCTATATAATTAAAATATATCAATTTCTTTAACGGGAAGAAACTCTTCCCGTTTTCAATGCCTTGATAAACTAGGACATTTCATAAATATATATTCCTATAAAAATTATATATTTCGCAATTTCTTATGGAACTTATTGTGCTATGAATTACCCTTCTTACAAGCCGAGTAAACTCTATTCCAGTAAACAAAATATGACACTTAAAAGCAACTAAACCGCTTTAGTAACTTATGGCATTTTGGAACACTGTATCTTTGGTATATATGGCATCATAAATTTTCAACGAGAATAATTAACTCAACTAAGTACAATATTTGCAATACTTTGACTAGAAAAACGGTATATCACATTACCACATAGGAATGTAAAATTCATTGGAATGTTTAATCTTCGGCCATCAGATGAATGCTGTCCTCGCCAGAAGCTCGAAGCGAATTTGGTGTCAATAACGATAACATGTCTTGGTGGTGGTGGTGATGGTGAGACTTAGATAGCGACTTCAGAGGCGACGTTTCAGACCCGTCCCAACTCGAATGTTTTGGTTTTAGATCACTTTTGGTTTTATCTTTGGTCTGCAATAATTTGTGAACAATTTTCAACGAAAAGCGCCTACTCACGTTTAGCTCCACGTGCAAAGTCTCCTCCTCTCCGTTCGGAAACTGGAATATTTTAAAATTGGGCGACTTCGGCCATGTGGTCGGCGGGGGGCTTCGTATCATGTGTTCGTGCATCTCTGGAAGAGTTAGGGGGTCTACGTCTAAATCAATGGATAGTTCCTAGAACAACCCGTCAGTGCGTCATAGGGCAATGACTCGTCGTTACCTTTGACATTAAATTAGCGTGATCTGACTCCTCTTCTAAACTATCTATTAAACTTTCTCTGCTGGCTATAATTTGCTGGAAAATGAGTCTAAATAACGAGGAGCGGGTTCGCATCGTCGGACTTACTTGGATGAAGGGATTGTCTTGTCTGGACGCTCGCAAAGCCTCCATGTCTTGATCGATGTTTCGAATTCTTCCAGGGGTTAAGGTTACCGTTGAAATCGCGGGCGACGGAGGATTCGATACCGGCAGATTTAGATAGTAATCTACCGCCGAGACGCTGAGTGTTGAGTGTGCACGGCCCACGGTGTTCCCTTTTGTTGCATCTGCGGATTTCGTAAGAATTTGAGTCACTGCTTGGACGCACTTACCAGGTAAGTTTTTTCGTCGATTCATCGTCTTAGTCAAAGCAGCTGTTCGGAGAAGTGTATTAATGGCATCACAACGAAGGCTACTTGAGGACTAATTAAAATTTAATAAAACCGTGAGTATTTTTATTGATGTTTGCTTTGACTTATGTTTATCTGGGTTTTTGACAGAAGTGGCATTTATTTGACATTGACATTTATGGCTGTTACGTCAACGTCAGCGACGTGATAAATGCGTTCATGTAATATCGTCTCTGCGATATTGTTGGTTGCCTATATGAAAGCAAGTTGTTTTAAAATTTGAAATCGCAACACAAACTCATTAATATTTTATAGTAATAATAACAATAAAAAAATGGTCGAAAGTTGTTTCAACAGAACTTCCCTCGCTCCTGACGTACAGTGAAACATATTCGAGTTGAATTTTTTCTTCACACAATTTTGTGATTACGTCATCAACATTTTTGCAAGCACACGTATATCAACTTGGCTTGGTGCAGTGTGATACCAGGTAATACTAAAAATAACAGTATTGTATTCCCAAATTTTTCTGGGGAAATGGGGTGAGCCGTTCCTGATTTAATCAATAAAATAAACTGATTCATTCATTTTTTTCCACCTGTTTAAGCAAATCTAAAAAATATGAATGCAATGATAAATTAAAGTATATTGTAGACTGATCTTTTTTTGCATATTTTGGGAAGCAATATTTTGAGGTGACGTGTATACAATTTACTTTTTTTTTCCAAAATTCTGAATGTCTAGAGTAAAAACTCAACACGGGTTCATAAACCACAAGTGCAGGAGTGTCTTATTACATAAAATTTATATTCTTAACGTACATACAAAATTTGACAACAATCGGTCTAGTGGTTTGGGAGATTTGTCTAATAATGTCTAATAAAAATCGATACAAACAGACGACAGACGACAGACAGACGGAAACGAGGAATCTCTTTTTTCGTACTCTTGGGGTGCCGAAACATCGAGAAAACATAAAAGTAGCCAGTCGCCAGAACTAAAAATTAATCAGGAATTGCTGCAGAATGTTATTTTGTTGCGATATTTGGAAAAAATTAATATGATGTTACAACTGTACCATTTTTTACTCATGCAACCAACAGTACGTCAACAACAAAAACATTTTTCGATCTGTTGTTCAATTTTTCTAATTTTTCAGTTATTCCTCCATTTTCCGATTTTTTACTTTTTCATTTTGCAATTTTCCGATTTAACAATTTTTCGATTTTTCAAGATTTCAGTTTTTGAAATTTTTTCATTTTTTAAATAATTTTTCATTTCGAGTTTTTAGTTTTACAATTTTCAATTTTTCGATCATTGAAAAATTACAACTGAAATATTCCAAAACCCCAAAAATCCAAGAATCGACAAAGAACCAAGAATCCAATAAACCAAAAATCCGAGAAACCGAGAATTCGAAAACCGAGAATCCAAGAATACGAGAAAACTCAAGAATCCGAGAATCCGAGAACCGAGAATTCGAGAATCCGAGAATCGAGAATTCTCGAATCCAAAAATCCAAAAATGTAAAAATCCAAAACTTCGAAAATCCAAGAATCCAAAAATCCAAGAATCCAAGAATTTAAGAATCCGAGAGAATCCGAGAAAATCCAAAAAAATACGAGAAACCGAGAATTCGAGAACCGAAAATCCAAGAATCCAAAAATCCAAAAATCCAAGAAAATCCGAGAAACCGTGAACCGAGAATCCTAGAATCCAAGAATCCAAGTATCCAAAAGTCCAAACATACAAAAATCCAAAAATCTAAACAACCAAAAATCCAAAATTCCAAGAGAAACCGAGAATCCGAGAACCGAGAATTCTAGAATCCAAGAATCCTAAAATACAAAAATCCAGACAACCGAACATCCAAAAATCCAAAAATTCGAACAACCAAAAATCCAATAATCTAAAAATCCAAAAATTTCTAAAAATCCAAGAATCTAAGAATTCAAAAACCCAAAAATCCAAAAATCGAAAATTCCAAAAATCCAAGAATCCAAAAATCCAAAAATCCAAGAATCCAAGAATCCAAGAATTTAAGAATCCGAGAGAATCCGATAACCGAGAATTCTAGAATCTTAGAATCCTAGAATCCAAGAATTCAAAAATCCAAGAATCCAAGGATCCAAGAATCCAAGAATCCAAGAAACCAAGAATCCAAGAAACCAAGAATCCAAGAAACCAAAAATCCGAGAAAAGCCGAGAAACCGAGAACCAAGAATCTGACAATTCGAGAATCCGAGAATCAAGAATCCAAGAATCAAGAATCCGAGAATCCAAAAATTCAAGAATCCAAGGGTCCAAGAACCCAAGAATCCAAGGAACCAAGAATCCAAGAAACCAAAAATCCCAGAAAATCTGAGAAAATCCGAGAAAATCCGAGAAACCGTGAACCGAGAATACTAGAATCCAAGAATCCAAGAATCCAAGAATCTAAAAATCCAAAAATCCAAGCATCCAAGGATCCAAAAATCCAAGAATCCAAGAATCTAAATAAAAATCCAAAAATCCAAGGAACCAAGAATCCAAGAAACCAAAAATCCCAGAAAATCTGAGAAAATCCGAGAAAATCCGAGAAACCGTGAACCGAGAATACTAGAATCCAAGAATCCAAGAATCCAAAAATCCAAAAATCCAAAAATCTAAAAATCCAAGAATATAAGGATCCAAAAATCCAAGGGTCCAAAAATCCAAACATACAAAAATCCAAAAATCGAAACAACCAAAAATCCAAAAATCCAAGAATCCAATAATCCACGAATCCAAGAATCCGGGAAAATCCGAGAAACCGAGAATCCGAAAACCGAGAATCCAAGAATCCGAGAAAACCCGAGAATCCGAGAACCGAGAATCCTAGAATCCAAGGAACCAAAAATCCGAGAAAATCCGAGAAACCGAGAATCCGAGAACCGAGAATTCTAGAATCCTAAAATCCAAAAATCCAAACAACCAAACATCCAAAAATTCGAACCAAAAATCCAAAAAACCAATAATCCAAAAATCCAAAAATATCTAAAAATCCAAAAATCCAGGAATTCAAGAATTCAAAAATTCAAAAATCCAAGAATCTAAGAATCCAAGAATCCGAAAATCGAAAATTCCAAGAATCCAAGAATTTAAGAATCCGAAAGAATCCGAGAACCGAGAATTCTAGAATCCTAGAATCTAAGGATCCAAGAATCCAAGAATCCAAGAATCCAAGCATCCAAGAATCCAAAAATCCAAAAATCGAAAAACCGAAAAATCCAAAAGTCCAAAAATCCAAAAATCTAAGAATCCAAAAATCCAAGAATCCAATAATCCACGAATCCAAGAATCCGAGAAAATCCGTGAAATCGAGAATCCGAAAACCGAGAATCCAAGAATCCGAGAACCGACAATTCTAGAATCCAAGAATCCTAAAATCCAAAAATGCAAACAACCAAACATCCAAAAATTCGAACAATCAAAAATCCAATAATCCAAAAATATCTAAAAATCCAAAAATCCAAGAATCCAAGAATTCAAAAACCCAAAAATCCAAAAATCCGAAAATCCAAAAATCCAAAATCCAAAAATCCAAAAATCCAAGAATCCAAGAATCCGAAAATCCAAAATTCCAAGAATCCAAGAATTTAAGAATCCGAGAGAATCCGAGAACTGAGAATTCTAGAATCCTAGAATCCAAGAATCCAAGCATGCAAGAATCCAAAAATCCAAAAGTCCAAAAATCCAAAAATCTAAGAATCCAAGAATTCAATATTCCAAGGATCAAGAACCCAAGAATCCAAGAAACCGAGAAAATCTGAGAAACCGAGAATGATAAAACCAAGAATCTAAGAAGCCAAGAATCCGAGAAAACCCGAGAAGCCGAGAACGAGAATTCGAGAATCCCAAAATTCGAGAATCCGAGAATCGGAATATTCGAAAATCCAAGGAACCAAGAATCCGAGAAACCAGAAATCCGGGAAAATCCGGGAAACCGAGAACCGAGAATCCGATAACCGAGAATCCTAGAATCCTTTAAAAATCCAAAAATCCAAAAATTCCAAAATCCAAGAATCCAAGAATTTAAGAATCCGGGAAAATCCCAAAAAATCTGAGACACGGAGAAACCAAGAATCCGAGAACCGTAAATTCTAGAAACCAAGAATCAAAGAATCCAATAATCCACGAATCCAAGAATCCGGGAAAATCCGTGAAACCGAGAATCCGAAAACCGAGAATCCAAGAATCCGAGAAAACCCGAGAATCCAAGAATCCGAGAACCGAGAATTTTAGAATCCAAGAATCCTAAAATCCTAAAATCCAAAAATCCAAACAACCAAACATCCAAAAATTCGAACAATCAAAAATCCAATAATCCGAAAATCCAAAAATATCTAAAAATCCAAAAATCCAAGAATCCAAGAATTCAAAAACCCAAAAATCCAAAAATCCAAAAATCCAAAAATCCAAAAATCCAAAATCCAAAAATCCAAAGATCCAAGAATCCAAGAATTTAAGAATCCGAGAGAATCCGAGAACCGAGAATTATAGAATCCTAGAATCCAAGAATCCAAGCATCCAAGAATCCAAAAATCCAAAAATCGAAAAATCGAAAAATCGAAAAATCGAAAAATCCAAAAGTCCAAAAATCCAAAAATTTAAGAATCCAAGAATTCAGTATTCCAAGGATCCAAAAACCCAAGAATCCAAGAAACCGAGAAAATCTGAGAAACCGAAATCCTAAAACCGAGAATCCAAGAAGCCAAGAATCTGAGAAAACCCGAGAATCCGAGAACCGAGAATTCGAAAATCCAAGCAACCAAGAATCCGAGAAACCAGAAATCCGAGAAAATCCGGGAAACCGAGAACCGAGAATCCGAGAATCGAGAATCCGATAACCGAGAATCCTAGAATCCTTTAAGAATCCGAGAAAATCCCAAAAAATCTGAGACACCGAGAAACCAAGAATCCGAGAACCGAAAATTCTAGAAACCAAGAATCAAAGAATCCAAAAATCCAAGAATCCAAGAATCCAAGAATCCAAGAAACCAAATATCCGAGAAAATCCGAGAAACCGAGAAACCTAAAATCCGAGAACCGGGAATTCAAGAAACCAAGAATCCGAGAATCCGAGAATCGAGATTCCGACAGCCGGGGATCCTAGAATCCAAGAATCCAAAAATCCAAACAATCAAACATCCAAAAATCCAAAAATCCAAACAATCAAACATCCAAAAATCCAAAAATCGAAACAATCAAACATCGAATCTGTGAGTCCAAAAATCCCAAAATCGAAACACAAATCCATAAATTCAAATATCGAAAGTTGGAAATTTCCATTTTTCAATGATTAGATTTTTCGATTTTTCAAAATTTAAATTTTCCAATTTTATATCGCCTATATGATTAAAAACTAACCAAAATTTATCTGGTTATCCTCACCAAAAATTTGATGACGTCATTAGAAATCTTTATCAAGGGTATGCTTATATATCTGTGTTTTATGAATCCGCTTTTATTTTTTGGAAAAAAAATTGTAACATTTTACAATTCAACTTTGAAATAGCAAAATCGAACGCTCTGAAATTGGGCAAACGTTTTATTGTTATCGTAAGCATGATAATTTACCGATTAAAATGTATCTGTTATCCCTCCTAAAAACTTGCTGACGTCATATCAACATTTTGTTAAACAAATCCTATCACAAAATAATGTGCAGTGAATTCACATTCTGTTAAAATTAAAATCTCACTTTATCCAGAAACTTATTTTATTTTTCATCTTTTTATTTTGCATTTTTAGTCGTTTCAAGGTACATCTTATTAGCACAATTAATTTATATGTAGTATTTATAATAAACACGATGGAAGCAATAATATTCGGTTTGAATTTGGCGCCGATGAGCTGTATTGTGATTGGTTGGCAAGCTTCGGAAATTGCATTTTTTCAGGAACATTCAACTCTGCAATTGGCACTATTGACACAAAGTGACACTTGCAGACATTATCAACATAACCTAATTATCAATCTTTAACCCTAACACCGAAAATAACATCAGTTTAATGAAAGTAAAAGAGAAACGTAGCGCAATGTCGGACGGTAAGCCCCCAACTCCCCATTTTTCACACATTTCACACCAACTTGTCTCTTTCAGAGGACATAATTAAGCGAAAATTGCTGATCGACGGCGACGGGACAGGGGACGACAGGCGACTGAACGTGATATCGAAAACCCTCAGAAAATGGGCTAATTCAACTGAGGAGTCCCCGCTAGAAAACCAAGCAACCCATGACAAGTTATTAGCGCAGTTAAGTTTGTGTGAATACTCAGTGAAGCGGTCGCAATTACTTACAAAAACGACTGCAAAACAGCTTGAAAACTACAAAAAGATATATGAAAAGTTTGAGGAACAGATTAATGAAGTGAAGGAGTCGATTAAACAGAACAAAGATAATTTAGTTCAAGCTAAAATTTGGAAGCAGAATCATATGATGTATGACTTGTTGGCACAAAGTATTGCGGAGCAGCCGGCTCGCAAGGAGACTAACTTAAGGTTGTCTAATTTGCAAGCCGAGCTTAAGGAGCTTCACCGGGAGAAGGAGCTTTTGGAACAGAAGCTGGACATGAGGAGGAAGCAGTTCCATGTTTTGGTGTCCAGTGCCAGTAAATTGCAAGCCATGTTGGAGGAGGCTGATAATGATTATAATAATAGTAGTTTGTTGGAGGACGTGGCGGATAGTACAGGTCCTGAACCAATGTCAGAATGAGGATGTAATTAAATACTTAAGTCACTTCCATAGTTTTATTTTAAGCACCTTTGTTACATTTCTAATTGTTAGAGAAACTCTGGTGTCTCTTTTAATTTTATCACCCACGACATATTGTTTTCCACAGTTAAGCAGATTAGCACAGCCTTCATCAACAACGTCAAAATCGACTTCTTTAATGGAATGGAGGTATTTAGAGTACATGTCATCTTTAATAACGACTAAGCTACATTTTTCAAGCAAGAGCTGGCAGACTTTGGTTCTAGTTTCGTTATTTTCTAAAAATTCCAATACTGTGTGTGAGCCACAACTGATTGTGGCTATTGTAGGGTAAAACAAGGGGCCGTCAGTGTGGGGCATTATCCCTTGTCCTGGAAGATATTCGTTGACTAATACTTGGTTTGGTTTGTTCGCTGCAAACACGTTTAATTGCGCCACTTTTTCCATGTACTTTGTCAGCCAACTGGGTATGGGTTCCGGGATCATCCCCTTTTCGTGCGGGACGCCCCCATAATCCTGGAGTCTCCTTTTTGACAGACAAGTCCACTTGGGTTTAGGAACCGCATACACGTTCTTCAAAATGTGAGCTTCCTCTTCTGGTGTTATAAAGTTTGGAATGTAATAAACGGTTGCTGGGGCTTGCAACACTTGAAAGCTACTCAAATCCATGATCACATCACAAAGGGGGACAAAGGAAGAAAAAAACAAGGGGGTGAAAGACGCCACAAAACTCAAAATATTACACTAATAACTAGGGTCGAAATAGGGGTTGAGGGTTGAGGGTGTTGTTTTCGAACTTCAAATTGACATTTATGACATTTACTTAACCTATAATTGAAAATGTCATTGGTGACAGTTTGTTTTTCGTTTGTATTTTTGCATTTTACTGATAACGATGGTTGCTTTTAGTTGAATTGGTCCAAACGGTGTCATGTCTTTGGTTAACACAGTATTATTTCGCAAGCTGTCATCCTCTGCAAGGATTTTTCACCACCTGAAGAAAAATTTTTTTTCAGTCACTGCATGTAACGGGCAGAAAAATGACGAACACGTCATGCACGTCTTCGACAGGAACACCAAGAGTTTGCAGAGGGAACGAGCGGCCTCTGCTCAAGACGCAAACGTTTATGACTACCTCAAAGACGAAATCGGCTACCGACTAGCAGACAGGATTTTTGATATCAAACGAAAATTTAAACTTGCTGCAGACATAGGTAAAGACTTCGGAGTTTAAGGGGGTTATTCAAGGTGTGTGATTTAGGGTGCAGTAGGGGCCACGTGTCCAAACATATATCGCCAAAATGCGTAGAAGAACTGATCTTATGTGATATGAACCGCTTTAACTTAGATAGTTTCCAAGTACAAAAAGGCATTAAAGTCAAGAAGCACATCCTGGATGAGGAGAATATTGAGGTACAACAACAATACTAAAACCTACACAATTTTCACCCTTTTACTTGCATTATAGTTTGAGCCAAACTCACTAGACCTTGTCATATCCAGCCTAAGCCTCCACTGGGTGAACGACCTCCCCAGAGCTTTCAAACAAATCTTAGACTCCCTCAAGCAAGATGGCGTCCTTCTAGCGGCGGTTTTCGGTGGAGACACCCTGTATGAGCTCCGGTCCTCACTTCAGCTAGCTGAGTTGGAGCGTCGCGGTGGCCTCTCCCCTCACATATCCCCTTTCACTGAAGTCAGGGACATAGGAAATTTGCTCACCAGAGCTGGTTTTACCATGCTCACTATCGACACTGACGAGATCGTCGTGACTTACCCCAGCCTCTTTGAGCTGATGTGGGACCTCAAAGGTGCGTCTATCGTTCGCGTGAACTCGCTACAGTTTGTGTTTCAGGTATGGCTGAAAGTAACGCGGCTTTAAATCGGTCGCTTCATTTGCATAGGGAGACTCAGTTTGCGGCGGCTGCGATTTATCAACAACTGTACGGAAAGGCGGACCCGGAAACGGGGAAAGTGTCAATTCCAGCCACGTTTCAGGTATAAACATAGATATAATTGCATAATTCGTGATTTTGTTTTTCTTAGATAATAAATATGTTGGGGTGGAAGCCTCATCCAAAACAACCTAAGCCAATGGAAAGAGGAACAGGCGAGGTGTCGCTCAAAGATCTCTATCGATTAGACGAAATTATTAAGGACGTTAAGAAGCTGAAAGACGACGACGATCAAAAGAATTGAGTCGCTGAAGTTTGTATAGTAATTAGTGTGTATATTTTGCGTTTGGATTTGTATATTTTATTAAAGTGTTGAAATGACTTGTGTTGGTTTTTGTGCCCCTTTTTGATTAGTGGAATTGAGGATTACACAGAAAAGTCGAAAGAAAATGGGTAGGGAAAAAATTCGAATTTTTTTTCAAGGTCACCCGTGTCATCAAGAAACTTGTTCATCAGATGCTATCACCTGAATTTTTACCGCATTTTAAAAAATCCAACGGGAAACACTATCATCATGAGCTAATTCCTATTGGCCGAAAAATCACCGGACCAACTAGAATCGCTTTCGGGCTTAGTTTAACAATATTTGCACAAACTGATTTGTTTTTAATAACTTCGTATTTCTGGATGAACGCTTTTCGGTTTAATTATGACATTATCATTATTAATTAGGTTTAAAAATTATTTGATTATGTGTAATGAAAGGCCAATAAGGGCGAAACTATCACATTAGCACAGTTATAATTTGAAAATTCTTTGAGAAATACTTTTGAATACTGGACGAGTGTCTTAGGTATGAGTGACATTTAAACTGATATGTCACTTATTTATTATTAATTACTAAAGCTGCAACAGTTCTTGACAACAGAGAGAAGAATTCATTTATTTCCTCGGAATTAAACAACGAATTAACCATAAAAATAGGACTTAACGTTTCCTGGACTTCTTGGATTTCTTTGATTTTTTTTAATTTTTAGATTTTTTGGATTGCTGAGATATATTCGATTTTTTGAATTTTTGGAATTATTGGATTTCTTGAGTTTCTTTGGCTTTCCTGGATTTCGTGTTTTTTTTCTTATTTTTATTTTTTTTTGTTTATTCAACTTTTAGGATTTTGGATAATTTTGATTTTTTGTTTTTTATTTCTGCTTTTTTTTTAGACATGTTCGATTTTTTGAATTTTTGGAATTATTGAATTTCGTGAGCTTTTTAATTGTCTTGGATTTCTTGTTTTTTTTTTTGCTTTGCATTTTTCTGACTGCTTCAGAATCTTTGGATACTTTGGAATCTGTGGATTCTATAGATTTCTTGGATTCTCTGGATTCTCTGGATTCTCTGGATTCCTTGGATTCTCTGGATTCCCTGGATTCTTTAGATTCCCCGGATTCTCTGGATTCTGTAGATTCTTTAGGTTCTTTGGATTCTTTGAATTTCTTGAGCTTTTTGAGTTTTTTGGGTTTCTTGTTTTTTTTTGTTTTCCATTTTTCCGACTTTTCTTTAGAATCTTTGGATTCTCTGGCCTCTTTGGATTTTCTGGATTCTTGGGATTTTTTGAATTCTTTGGGTTCTTTGGATTCTTTGAATTTCCTGGGCTTTTTGAGTTTCTTGTTTTTTTTTCCGATTCTTCTCAGAATCTTTGGATTCTCTAGATTCCCTGGACTGCCTAGATTCTTCGAATCGTCTTGACTCTCTGGATCCCCTGGATTCCCTGGATTCTCTGCATTCTTTGGATTTTTTTGATTTCTTGATTTTCTTCAGGTTTTTAAGTTTCTTTGGTTTTTTGTTTTTTTAAGTTTTCCATTTTTCCAACTCTTCAGGATCTTTGGATTCTTTGTAAACTTTGGATTCCCTGGACTCATTGGATTCTCTGGATGCTCTGAACTCTCTGGACTCTCTGGATTCTATGGATTCTCTGGATCCTCTGGATTCTCTGGATCCTCTGGATCATCTGGAATTCCTAGGTTCTCTGGATTCTATGAATTCTCTGGATCCTCTGGATTCCCCGATTTCTATGGATTATTTGGATTTTTTGGATTCCTTGAGTTTCTTGAGCTTTTTGAATTTCTTGGAATTCTTGTTTTTTTGTTTTCCATTTTTCCGACTCTTCTTCATAAACTTTGAATTCTCTGGGTCCTCTGAATTCCCTGGGTCCTCTGGATTCCCTGGATTCTCTGGATTCTGTTTACTGTGTAGAGTTTCTGAATTCCCTGGATTCTCATGATTTTCTGGATTCTGTGGATCCTCTGGAGTTCCTGGATTCTCTGGATCCTCTGGATTCCCTGAATTCTCTGGATTCTTTGGATTATTTGGATTCTTTGAATATCTTGAATTTCTTGTTTTTTTTTTTGTTTTCCACTTTTCCGACTCTTCTTCAAAATCTTTGAATTCTTTGTAAACTTTGGATTCTCTGGACTCATTGGATTCCATGGTTTCTCTATGGATTCTCTCGATCCTCTGGATTCCCTGAATTCTGCGGATTCTTTAGATTATTTGAATTTCTTGAGTTTTTTGAGTTTCTTGGGTTTTTGTTTTTTTATGTTGTTCATTTTTCGGACTCTTCTTCAGAATCTTTGGATTCTTTGAAATCTTTGGATTCTCTGGACTCATTGAACCCTCTGGAATCTCTGGATTCCTTGGATTCTATGGATTCTCTGGATCCTCTGGATTCCCTGGATTCTATGGATCCTCTGGATTGCCAGGATTCTCTGGATTCTGTTTACTGTATGGATTTTCTGGTTTCCTTGGATTCTCTTGTTTCTCTGGACTCTCTGGATTCTTTGGATTCTCTGGACTCGTTGGTTTCTATGGATTCCTGGATTCTCTGGATTCTGTTTACTGTCTGGATTTTCTGGATTCCCTGGATTCTCTTGATTCTGTGGACTCTCTGGATTCCTTGGATTCTCTGGACTCATTGGATTCTATGTATTCTATGGATTCTATGGATTCTATGGATTTTCTATGGATTCTCTGGATTCCCTCGATTCTCTGGATTCTCTTGATTCTATGGATCCTCTGGATTGCCTGGATTCTTTGGATTCTGTTTACTGTTTGTATTTTCTGGATTCCCTAGATTCTCTTAATGATTCTCTGGACTCTCTGGATTCTTTGGATTCTCTGGACTCATTGGATTCTATGGATTCTTTATGAATTTTCTGGATCCTCTGGATTCCCTCGATTCTCTGGATTCTATGGATCCTCTGGATTGCCTGGATTCTCTGGATTCTGTTTACTGTCTGGATTTTCTGGATTTCCTGGATTCTCTTGATTCTCTGGACTCTCTGGATTGTTTGGATTCTCTGGACTCATTGGATTCTATGGATTCTATGGATTCTATGGATTCTCTATGGATTCTCTGGATTCTCTGGATCCTCTGGATTCCCTCGATTCTCTGGATTCTCTTGATTCTATGGGTCCTCTGGATCCTCTGGATTCTCTGGTCTCATTGGATTCTCTGGATCCTCTGGATTCCCTCGTTTCACTGGATCCTCTTGATTCTATGGATCCTCTGGATTCCCTGGATTCCTTGGAATCTCTGTATCTTCTGGATTGCCTGGATTCTCTGGATTCTGTTTACTGTCTGGATTTACTGGACTCCCTGGATTCTCTTGATTCTCCGGACTCTCTGGATTCTTTGGATTTTCTGGTTTCTCTTGATCCTCTGGAGTTTCTGGATTCTATGGTTTCTCTGGATCCTCTAGATTCCCTGGATTCTCTAGATTCTTTGGATTTTTTAGTTTCCTTGAGTTTCTTGGAGTTCTTGTTTTTTTGTTTTCCATTTTTCAGACTCTTCTTCAGAATCTTTGGATTTTTTGTGAACTTTTGATTCTCTGGACTCATTGCATTCTGATTCTATGGATTCTCTGGATTCTCTGGATTCCCTGGATTCTTCGGATTCTTGGGATTATTTGAATTTCTTCTCCAGATCCTCTGAATTCCCTGGATTCTCTAGTCTCTCTGGATTTTCTGGATTTCTTGGATTCTTCGGATTCTTTGGATTATTTGAATTTCTTGAGCTTTTTGAGTTTCTTGGGTTTCTTGTTTTTTTTTTATGTTGTTCATTTTTTGGAACTCTTCTTCAGAATCATTGGATTCTTTGGATTCTCTGGTCTCATTGGATTCTCTGGATCCTCTGGATTCCCTCGTTTCACTGGATTCTCTTGATTCTATGGATCCTCTGGATTCCCTGGATTCCTTGGAATCTCTGGATCTTCTGGATTGCCTGGATTCTGTTTACTGTCTGGATTTGCTGGATTCCCTGGATACTCTTGATTCTCTGGACTCGCCTGATTTTCTGGATTCCCTGGATTCTCTGGAGTTCGTGGATTCTCTGGATTCTATGGATTCTTTGGATTCATGGGGTTCTTTGGATTCTTTGGATTCTTTGGATTTTTCGGATTCTTCGGATTTTTCGGATTCTCCGGATTCTTTGTATTCTTTGGATTCCCTGGATTCTCTGAATTGTTTGGATTTTCTGCATTCCCTGGATTCTTTAGATTCTCTGTATTCCCTCGGTTCTCTTCATTCTCTGCATTCTTTGAATTCTCTGAATTTCTTTAGTTTTTGAGTTTCTTGGGTTTGTTTTTTTTATACATATTTTCCATTTTTCCGACTATTCTTCAGAATCTTTGGATTCTCTGGACTCTTTGGATTCCCTGGATTCTTTGGATTCTCTGGATTCTCGTGTGAACCCTAAATATTTTGCACATTTTGGATAGGATTTATCAGCAAACTTTTTAAATGACGTCAGCAAATTTTTAGGGGGGATAAACAGATATCTTTTAATTAATAATTTACCACGTTTGCATAATTTTAGAGCGTTCGATTTTGCATAGTTTCAAAGTTAAATTGTAAAGTGTTATAAAACTTTGATTTTTTTCTCATAAAAACAAGTTCATAAACCACAAATATATAAACATGCTATTGTATAATAAAATAAATAAGATTTCCTTTATAAAAAAATGTTCAAACGACGTCATCAAATCAGATAAATTTCGGTTAGTTTTTTACCATCTAGACGACATTCTCAAAACATTAAAAATTTAACTTTGACTGTAGTGAAATTTTTAGTTTTCACTGTATTTGTCTAATAAAATCGTTAATAACAAGCAATAGTCAGACAGAAACGGGAAATCTACTTTTTCACACTCTAGCAGATATCAAACTTTGAGAAAACATGAAAGCTCTCTTAAAATATATACATTTGTAGTTCTGGAAAGAATACATCGATGCAGTTTTAAAAAATAATTATTTAAATGATTTATAAATATGTTAATAACGTCCAAACGGTAGTTAATGATATTGATAATCCACGCGAGTATTCTTGGTTGCCTACGTCAGCATTAAAAATATAAATTTTAAAACTGAAACAACAAATTTAGAACTGGACACTCAACAAATAATGTCAAAAATAGTTACTATTGTGGATGGAAGTATACAATTTTTAAGTTTGTGTTAGTACAAGTCGTGTCCTTAAAAAATCTATTATAATAAATTTATGACAGTTCCATTTAAGAATGCTGTAAATAAAAAATCCCCCAACGTAGCATCCTTTTTAATAAAACAAATTATAACAAAAAACTGAATATCGTTTTACTATTAGTAGGTATATACAAGACTACAAAAATAACGTTTCGACCAGTCTTTAAAAATCACGTATTTCTTTCACGATTTAATTTTTGCTGCAACTTCTTTCTTAAAATCGTGAATTGGATTAGCCTCCAAGTTCCCCTGTCCTAAAATTTTGTTCCTGGATCCTTCCACATCCCCCAACCAGGATTCCCTTCAAAACAATCCAATAATAATAAATCAAAACAAGACATAACCTACAAACTTGTATGACAGTCCTAAGCCTACCACTGCTAAAAATCCACCAAATAATAGTGGAAACCTAAGCAGCGTACTGGTTGGAATTGGCCTTTTCATATTTATTTCTATAAATTCACTTAAAAAGTTTGTTGTTGATTGGAAATTCACAAAAATGTGACCTCCGGCATAGTGCTGCCATCTAGCCACACGACAGTGTAGTTGCGAACTTTGCGCTAAATACAAATACTTGTTACAAATTTGTTAATTTACGCTCAGTACTAAAATTGCATTTCGTACAAAGTTTACATTTGAAACGTTTGGTAGATATTATAGTATCGGTTTTGAAGCTTATAAATGAAATTGTAAAATATACAATTATACGGTTTCGATGTTTCTTTTCCAAAAATCGGTGTAAAAAATCAAAACGGATTCATAAACCACAAGTGTTGGAAATATTGACGCAAGATGATTGCAATTATCCATTTTTTTACAACCACGCTAAACACTCCATAAAACCCTCATTAACTCCTCCATCTGCGCCCACCATAAACCTCCACATTAACGCTCCTCCAGCAAATCAGCATTTTGTTTATCACCATAATCACCATCGCAAATTTTTATGAAAAACAACAGATCAATGTTTCGGCGATAAATCACGTTTGGAGCGTTCAGTAATCCCGCGACGCCGGTACCAACCCAACGGCCCGCGCCCTTTCATCCCCTAGACCGGTTACGTCACTGGGTAACCCCGGTAACAGGTAACGGCGGTCGGCAGCGGCGGCGGCAGAACGGGTGGTGTGTGCCGTTCCCTGGACGAGGGACCCTTGTACCTGGGCCGGCCTCGTTGATGCGCCCCCGCAGGGGCCATGGGGCAGGCCGAGAGCAGAGACGACGCCGACGACGACCCGGAGAAATACAACTCGAGGCGGACGTCCGGAATCCTGGTGGTAAGGGTTAAGGATTTCTCTGTGCATGGCATTTGCGACTTGTGTTCAACGTGACCTTGTTTTTTTGTAGAGTTTTGATGATTTTTTTCGGCGGTTCGATAGAGTGAGTCAGGTTTGTTTAAAACTGGAAGGGGGTGAAGTGATCAATGGCTTGGGCGGCATGCGATGGCTGCGTGCGAGGGGCACTGCAACCCCTGAGTAATTTCAGATATTGCACGGCGGGGAATGTATGTAGCTTTAATGATCTGAGTTGTGGGGTTGAGGGGGTTGCGAGATTGAGAATTGATTTACGGATGAGGCCTTGTTAGCGTTTGTTAAGGTCGTGTGGGTTTGTATCATGAAGGAAGGGGATTTAGAGTCTATTCAGATGTTTCAAAAGAACGAAAAACGTTTACTTTGAGTTTTATTTTTGTGCAAGGACACCAATGATTTTGAATGATTTTGTTATCACGAAACAAAACTATGTATTTTGATTTTCCGGTTTCAAAATTTTTACTTTAATCCATTGTATGTTTGGTTGCCTATCTCACATGTCAATTTGGAACCGCAAGAACGAGTTTTAAAAATAATAGTAATGTTTTAAGCAGAGATCACCAGTTTTGAATTTTTTGATGGGTCATCTTCAACTTTTTTCATGTTCTAGGCCCCTAAAAGCACTTCAGTCATTGTTTTTCCTCTTTTTGTGTGATAAACATCATAGAATCGCTTAAAAATCCTCACACTGACAAAATAACGCATTTATATTTGTTAACATAACAATTTATTAAAATAATTTCTTTATTATAGCATAAATTAATTCAAAATACGTCGAATGATTTTAATAGAGGTATTAGTGGAAAATTAGCAGGGTTTTTAACAATAATTAACAATCATTGAAAAAAATGGGTTTGAATTCAACCCGGTTTGAGTTAGTTCAAGATCTTGCCGCTAGGAGCGCGACGAAATTTAAACTTACGGACTGAACAGCCAGGAAAAAAATTTTTGCGAAGGTCCACAGCGTACCCTAAAGTACTTATTAGCGTTCTCAGCTGATTTTTGTAATTTATGACAACGAATTCGATTTTTTACAATTTCAAAGTTAAACGGTAAAGTGTTCTACAGTTTTGATTTTTTTTTCATCAAACACAAACGTTATGTTTATATTTATACATTTCATTCCGTACTTTCGTCCTGTGTCATTTTCAAATTGTCAGACGAATACTGCGATTTTTGCGATTGCTCACTGGATCAGGAGAAATTTTAATCTTTGTCAACTTTATTCTCTGTTAGTGTTGAGGGATTATGTTGAGGAGGCGGAGCAGTCTAATACCCATTCCGACAATTACTTCATAGATCACCCTTTAGCAAGTAATTTATTAGGGAATGATCTAATAAGTTGCGTAGATACAAAGAAAAACCATAGCGTTAAATTTTATTTACATTCTTAAAAAATAATATTAATAATTCCATTTACAGAACAAATTAATTACCCGTCTTAACGAATAATAACATACAACGAAAGAAAAATATTAAATTCCTTAATAAATTATAAATTGAGTTAAATAGCAAAATATAACTAATTTTAATTCTAATATTTCAAAAAAATAGCAACTTGTCATAAATTGTCAATAGTCTTCACTATCAACTTACCATGGTTTTATGACCCATATTCTGTAATTGTCTATTCCTTTCACCCATCTCAATTCAGGTTATATAATATAATTAATTCATTATAATATAAGCTTATTTGCTTACTTATAAAAGACTGTAGGAAAAAATTAATCTTACTTAACTTAAATATTACAAAAAAGTTACAATTACCGATTTTTTATTTATTTATTTTTGATAACCTAGGTTCTATTAGTTTCCACTCTCACCCTACAGAAGAATATATAATTAACCTCGCCCACCCACCCCACCTCTATTTCACTGATTAATTTTATCTGCTCAGAATGAAAAATGCATCTTAAATAAAATCAGGAATAGGGCGGGTGGGCGGGGCTAGCACTGGCTAAGATAAGACTGATTTTGGCAGATGACATACTCTCTAAGAAAATAGTGGGCGGGTGGGAGGGACTAGTACCTGATAAGATAAGAGTGAATTTGGCAAATGACCGCTTCTGATAAAATAAAGGGTGGGTGGGCGGGGCTACTGCTTGTTCATAAGACTGCTGAAAAAAGTTAATCTTACCTAAATAGTAGAAAAAAGTTACAATTGGCGCTTTTTTATTTTTTTTTTTTTAATATAACCTAGGTTCCATTAGTTCCCACTCTCACACTACAGAAGAATATATAATTAACCCCGCCCACCCACCCCACCTTTATTTCACTGATTAATTTTATCTGCTCAGAATGAAAAATGCATCTTAAATAAAATTAGAAATAGGGCGGGTGGGCGGGGCTAGCACTTGCTAAGATAAGACTGATTTTGGCAGATGACATACTCTCTAAGAAAATAGTGGGCGGGTGGGGGGGGGCTAGTACCTGATAAGATAAGAGTGAATTTGGCAAATGACCTCTTCTGATAAAATAAAGGGTGGGTGGGCGGGGCTACTGCTTGCTGATAAGACTGCAGAAAAAGTTAATCTTACTTAAATAGTACAAAAAAGTTACAATTGGCGCTTTTTTATTTTTTATTTGTTTTTTTTTTTTCATATAACCTAGGTTCCATTACTTCCCACTCTCACTCTACAGAAGAATATATAATTAACCCCGCCCACCCACCCCACATCTATTTCACTGATTAATTTTATGTGGTCAGAATGAAAAATGCATCTTAAATAAAATTAGGAATAGGGTGGGTGGGCGGGGCTAGCACTTGCTAAGATAAGACTGATTTTGGCAGATGACATACTTTCTAAGGAAATAGTGGGCGGGTGGGGGGGCTAATACCTGATAAGATAAGAGTGAATTTGGCAAATGACCTCTTCTGATAAAATAAAGGGTGGGTGGGCGGGGCTACTGCTTGCTGATAAGACTGCAGAAGAAGTTAATCTTACTTAAATAGTACAAAAAAAAGTTATAATTGCCGCTTTTTTATTTTTTATTTTTTTCTATAACCTAGGTTCTATTAGTTCCCACTATCGTTCCACAGAACAATATATAATTAACCCCGCCCACCCACCCCGTCTCTATTATACTGAATACCTTTATCTGCTCAAAATGGAAAATGCATATTATACTGAACAGAAATAAAATTAGTCGTTAGAATGTTAAAAGGGCGGGTGGGCGGGGCTAGTACTTGTTAAGATAAAACTGATTTTGGCAAATGACAGATTTTCTAAAAAAATAGTAGGCGGATGGGGGGGGGGCTACTACCTGATAGGATAAGAGTTAATTTGGCAAATGACCCCTTCTGATAAAATAAAGGATGGGTGGGCGGGGCTACTGCTTGCTCATGAGACTGCAGAAGAAGTTAATCTTACTTAAATAGTACAAAAAAAAGTTATAATTGCCGCTTTTTTATTTTCTATTTTTTTCTATAACCTAGGTTCTATTAGTTCCCACTATCGTTCCACAGAACAATATATAATTAACCCCGCCCGCCCACCCCGTCTCTATTTTACTGAATACCTTTGTCTGCTCAAAATGGAAAGTGTATATTATAATGAACAGAAATAAAATTAGTCGTTAGAATGTTAAAAGGGCGGGTGGGCGGGGCTAGTACTTGCTAAGATAAGACTGATTTTGGCAAATGACATATTTTCTAAGAAAATGGTGGGTGGGTGGGGGGGGTTGTACCTGATAAGATAAGACTGAATTTGGCAAATGACCTCTCCTGATAAAATAGAGGGCGGGTGGGCGGGCCTAGTACTTACAAAAATAAAACTGAACAATATTAAGAGTAGTTATTATAATGAAGTAGGTGGTCGGGGCTACTGCTTGCTCATAAGACTGTAGAAAAAAGTTAATCTTACTTAACTTAAATACATAGTACAAAAAAAAATACAATTGCCGTTTTTTTATTTTTTATAAAACCTAGGTTCTATTGGTTCTCACTCTTGCCAAAAAAGTTATTTTTACTTGATTTAAATAGTACAAAAAAAGTTACAGTTGCCGTTTTTTATACAGGGTGTCCCAGAATTCGCGCCATTCCCCTGAATGACATGTTCCCTGTCCCGAACTGAGCCGTAATTCGCAAAAACAATTGTCCAGGCTTTAACCGTGTGAGAACTGGAAGACGATTAAGTTGACCAATAGAGAGGCTGCTTTTATATTCGAACGTTTCTATGTTTAAAGTTACCTATGCCAAGAACAAAAAATCGGGTAATACTAAAGTTGAATGAATTTTTTTCGAATCCCCCTCCGTCAACAAAAGGAAACAGAAGTGTGGTTATAAATTTAATCATTTTGACAATTGCTTGTCATAAACTGTCACGAAGTTGATCACTGACCTGAAGAGACGCTTCTGCGCCAAAGATGACTGGTTAATGTACACAAAGACGTCAAGGTTTAGTTTAAGGCAAGTAGCATGGGACAGAAGTTATTTTTGCTGCCATTCTAGTTAAATTTTGTTTAACTGGGCTGGACATGCCATAAGAGAAGCTGTTTCATTTCATCGTAGGCAAATAATACATTTATTACTATTCTACATAGTGTAGATACCGAAGAGCAGGTATTAGAAGTCATTTTCTTAGAGCCTCGTGAATAATGTGTTGTTCTTTTAAATGAAAATTAGTACATTTACAGAATTCACTATGCATCGTGTCCCTGATATTAAGTTTATCGTTATTTCTAAAAAAGAGTACCACATGTCCATTCAAAGAACGTTATTAAGAGTACTAAAACATAAATATCGCTTTTGATTAATCGGTGCTTATAATTTTCAATAAACAGTAGGTATCAATTTTTACTGAACAGCTTTGTTGTTGATACCTAATCTAAGCAACGAAAAAGAGACGAGACTCCACTTCTCTGGTGTATTGAGATCAGAGGTATCTGCTGTGTGTCAATCATGTGGGGGAGATACTGAAAACGGAGACTTATTCAAGAATAATATTGATGTTGCACATGCTGATTTAAAACAGTTTCTTTAAAGTTGCGAGTACTTTCCTAGAGAGTGAAAAGATACGAATAAAAATTATAACAAAAATCGTTTAGTTGCATTTTTTTTTAAGAACAATACAAACTATAAACAAATCAGTACCAATACCACTAAGTCACTGATGTCTTATTCAATTGGCACTTCTGGGCAAACGAAAATCCACATTTAGCTAACGTGAGAGCATATCAAGAGCAATACTATTAATCTATGGGCCGGAATCGTTGTACTGTAACGTTATTAAACAATGTGCTCAAAATGATCACCATTAACTTCAATGCAAGTTCTAGCTCGTCGCATTATGTTGTGTTGTATATTATTTAACATCTCAGGAGTAACTTCCAGTTCTTCTAACGTATCTAGGGGTTCTCTATATACGTAATTTTTAATTTAATTAAAAAAAAAGTCCAAAAAAGAAAGGTCTGGAGATCTAGGAGGCCAGATGTTAGTACTGCCACGCCCAATCCACCTATGACGATACTCTTTTCAATGTTCGTCGTACAAGTATCGAATTATGTGGAGGAGCGCCGTCGTGCTGAAACCACATATTCCGCCGTACATTCAAAGGAACGTCTTCCAACAATGCCGGAAGCTCTAGTCGTAGAAAATTAGCATATACATCCCCATTAAGGCGATCAGGTAACACAAACGGCCCCACCTAAAAAAACAGGAACGGAGTTTAGTGATAATTTTATCAGATGCATTAAAATTTTTACCACAGTAGTACCAATGATTCCAGCCCATAGATTAATAGTAAATCGCTCCTGATACGCTCTCACCCTAGTGAGATGTGGATTTTCGTGTGCCCAGAAGTGCCAATTGTGTGCATTAAACATTCCTTCTCGGGAAAATGAACATTCGTCGGTGAAAAGAATGCGCCGTGAAAAATCAGGATTTAGTTCATTTTGTCGCAAAAACCATTGAGCAAAATGTACTCGTCGCGGGTAGTCGGTTGGTCGCAGATGCTGCACTCTCGTGTAATGGTAAGGATGCAGTATTCTCTCTTGAAGGGTACGATGAGTGGTCGATCTTGAGCATCCACTCATTTGCGCTACATAGAGGACACTTCTCCTAGGATCCGCTTCCATGTTTTCTAACACTTGCTCTTCAGCACCCACACGTACATTCCGTGGAGCCCCAGCCTTTCCGACTAGGTTGAAAAGATCCATCTTCTCTTGCTCGATGTAACAATCGGTGAAACACTTGTTGGTCTGGGTGCCGACGATTATTCACGGGGCTCTAAGAAAATGACTTCTAATACCTGCTCTTCGGTAGCTACTCTATGTAGAATAGTAATAAATGTATTATTTGCCTACGATGAAATGAAACAGCTTCTCTTATGACATGTACAGCCCAGTTAAACACAATTTAACTAGAATGGCAGCAGAAATAACTTCTGTCCCATGCTACTTGCCTTAAAGTAAACGTTGATGTCTCTGTGTACATTAATCAGTCATCTTTGGCGCAGAAGCGTCTCTTCAGGTCAGTGATGAACTTCGTGACAGTTTATGACAAACAATTGTCAAAATGATTAAATTTATAACCACACTTCTGTTTCCTTTTGTTGACGGAGGGGGATTCGGAAAAAATCATTCAACTTTAGTATTACCCGATTTTTTGTTCTTGGCATAGGTAACTTTGAACATAGAAACGTTCGGATATAAAAACAGCCTCTCTATTGGTCAACTTAATCGCCTTCCAGTTCTCACACGGTTAAAGCCTGGACAATTCTTTTTGCGAATTACTGCACAGTTCGGGACAGGGAACATGTCATTCACGGGAATGGCGCGAATTCTGGGACACCCTGTATTTTGTTTATATATAACCTAGGTTCTATTAGTTGCTACACTCACTCTATAGAAAAATATATAATTAACCCCGCCCACCCACCCTTTCTCTATTTCACTGATTATTTTTATCTGCTCAGAATGAAAAATGTGTCTTGCACTGACCACAAATAAAATTAGGAATAGGGCGGGTGGGCGGGACTAGCACTTGTTAAGATAAAACTGAACTTGGCAAATGACACTTTCTGTGAAAATAGAGGAGGGGTGGGCGGGGCCATTGCTTGCTTATAAGACTGTAGAAAAAAATTAATCTTACTTAACTTAAATACGTAGAACAAAAAAAGTTACAATTGCAACTTTTTATTTATTTATTTTTTATAGTCTTGGTTCTATAAGTTCCCACTCTCACTCACAGAAGAATATATAATAGCCCCGCCCACCCACCCCATCTCTATTTCACCGATTAATTTCGTCTGCTCAGAATGAAAAATGCATCTTGTACTGAACAAAAATAAAATTAGGAATAGGGCGGGTGGGCGGGGCTAGCACTTGTTAAGATAAAACTGAATTTGGCAAATGACACCTTCTGAGCACATAGAGACCGGGTGGGTGGGGCTAGTATTTACAGAGATAAGACTGAACAATATTAAAATTAGTTACATATACAATGAAGTAGGTGGGCAGGGCTACTGCTTACTCATCATATGACGGTAGAAAAGTTATTCTTAATTAACTTAAATAGTAAAAAAAAAGTTAACATTGTTGCTTTTTTATTTTTTCTATAACCTAGGTTCTATTGGTTCCCACTTTCATTCTACAGAAGAATATATAATTAACCACGCCCACCCACCCCACCTCCATTTCACTGATTGATTTGATCTTCTCAGAATGAAATGTGCATCTTATACTCAACAGAAATAAAATTAGGAAAAGGGCGGGTGGGCGGGGCTAGCACTTGCTAAGATTAGATTGATTTTGGCAAATGACATCTTCTGAAAAAGAGGCGGTGGGTGGGCGGAGCTACTGCTTGTTCTTATGACTGTAGAGAAAAGCTAAACTCCGCCCCGTCCACCTTCTTTCTCCATTTCACTGATGTATGAAAAAATAGAAAAATTTCTGCCAATAAAAAGTATGTTTACCTACCAACGGAGGAGCATTTAATTTTATTCATGTTCTAAAAAAAGAAAAACAAATTGCAGTGAGATCTACGCATACTAACAAAAGAAATATTTTAAATTTCTATTGATCCTTTTTTTAATAAATATCTAATAATAATCAATAATATTGTTAAATGTTTAAAGTCGCCGCATTTAGGAAAATCTGCCTGCCTTTTTTAATGAATACAGAAATTTACTTCACTGATATGGGCTTTTTTACAACAATTTCTAACATTTAAATTTTAAATAAATATAAATAAATAAAAAAAATATTTTTCCAACGGAATAATCCCATTTATAGGACAAATTAATTACACCTCTTAACTAATAAATTAGACAAAATAAAAGGAAAATATTAAATCCCTTATTAAATATGTAAATTGAGTAGCTAAACTTGCAAAATATAAGTAATAGATTTATGTTAACCTAATTTTAATTGTAATATTTCAAAAGAATACGAAAAATGCTGTGGTAGAAAATTTTGTGCAAAGTGCCCAACAACTTTAATACATTCGTAGATAAGACTATCCTGAGCTTATTTCAACTGCCGAAAATGTTTTTATATGTGGAATAACGGTAAGTGCTTTTTTAAAAATTCGTATTGCATATTTTTTAATACGACTATTTTAAGCGGTTTTTGTCTTGAAATAAAAAAAAATTGATTTTATTTTTTAGATAACATGTGAGCGCAAAAACTGTCAAAATCTCCACGAATCAGAACTATCGCAAATAAAAGGTCTAGTAAATCTTATTTAATTGCATTCAAATAATTAGAAAAAGCCAAGTATGTGACTGCATTAAAATTTATTAATGAATCCTAAGAGGTAATTAATAAAAATCCTGGTTACGAGCTCCTAGAAAACATCAGTTTAATTTTAAGTGGTGAATCACTAGATATTAATGTACAATTAGATCCGGATATTATTAGTGCTTTAAAGTACACACCCATTGCATCTGGTGATGTAGAAAGAAGTTTTTCTTCATGCACAATGTTATTAACAGAAAATTTGACAAAAATCAGATTATTAACTGTAACAGTAAAATATATGTAGTTTATAGGGTATTTATGCTTTATGTAAAAATATTTTATAGGTATTAAATGTAACTACAGACATTTCTCGTGTTTTTTGCTTATTTATCAAAAATTGCGAAGAAATTTTGCGCATAGAAATGCGCATATTTTGACAAATACGTGTGCATATAAATCCGCGCTTTAGAATATCTCATTAACGGTCAAATTCTGCCCGTGACGTCACGGCCACGTGACCCCGAACCCCACCTACGGCATCCATCCTTAACGGACATTTAAAAATGTCTGCCCCGAAACGAAATTGAAATAACTCCACGTTCTACCCAATTTCCTCCCATGTCCTGGATAGAGCCCGCGAACAGTGAAGCATTTCCTTATTGATAATGATAACGTTATCTCGCCAGCAAAAATGTGAATAATTAAATGTCAACACACATGAACCATTTAACTCGGAATTCTTGACCTCGAGTCGTGACGGAATAAACCCGACCGATATCTTTTGTCAGGCATTTACATAACAATAAACAATTAATGTAAGACAGACAGAGCCGAACTTCAAACGGATTTGTTTAATTTTCGCCCATATAAATCAACTCTCAGCAGGATTTCGCACGTGTTGGGGTGTGAAACCTCCTGGAAGAGATACCGCTTCGAAGCACTTCGAAGGAAGATATACTACAAGGTTTTTCTGCGAATCAGCTGATCACTGTTTACACGCTAATCGTACCGGGTGGATAAAGGCGTAGTCTGTCGGCGCGCCAATGGCAGCAGAGCGTCCTTGGAAAGTAGGACGCTGGTTTCTTGGTTGCTTTTTGGGGCGATTTTTGCTTAGCGCGGTTATGTAATCAAAAGCAGATTGTTAGATTAAAGTTATGCCAACTTAAACGCTCAGTAATTATTTCTGCTTTCTTTGCTCTTTTTTATCGAGACTGGTTTTATACACGTTACACGCTTTATTTAAGACATTTTATACAAATTCGTACTTACTATGTTTTCCGTTTGTGTCGTATGCTAACAGTTGTTTTCAATTTCAGGAATATTTACCCTTCCTTCTACACACAGACGTGAGTGTTTATTTTTTTTTTATTTATGTTATTTTTACTCAAGCTTGCTTTAGTTCACTGTTTGCTTACACCTGTTTCACTTATTTAATTCGTACCTTGTTGCACTAACATCTGCAAAAATCACTACATGTATATAAAAAAAAGTAAAGGTAGGTAAGGGTAGCAAAGTGGTGGGACTTGTTTTCTGTGTTTATTTCAAATACAACCTAACGTAAAAATCATAAATAGAAAATTATAAGACGCGAAAGAAGTCGAAGATGCGGTCCATAAAATGGAAAGAACAAAATCACCAAAAAGAGGACAAAAGGTATGAGAGTTAAATTGTTGGGTTATTTTAAAAATTGTTTATTGACATTTTTTGAAATATGCTATAATTTCGCAATTTAATTCGGTTACATATTGTACTGATACATATTTTATAACAATTTGGGAACACAAAATGACTTATTTTAAAAAAACAACTACTTTTGCTAGATGCCTAACAACCTGTGTTTAAATTGTACTTACATAACAAGTTCCCTTTTATCTCTTATCTCAAATTTGTTAGATAGAGGATGAGATGCACACCTTTATTTACATTTAACCGTCAGTAACAATAATCAGATTTATAGATAGCTTGACTCAACTAGATACATTTTTTAAAGTACATGATATTAAATTATTTTCATATATATATTCGACCGCAAAATTAACCGGACATTCATATTTTTCCTTATCAATACATAGTGGAAAAGAACTAGTACGTAATAAATTATTATTAATGTGAAGTGAATAATTTTTTATTTTTTTATATAACCTAGGTTCTATTAGTTCCCACTCTTATTCTAAAGAAGAATATATAATTAAGCCCGCCCACCCACCCCATCGCTATTTCACTGAACACTTTTATCTGCTCAGAATGAAAAGTACATATTACGCAGAAATAAAATTAGTCGTTAGAATGTGAAAAGGGCTGGTGGGCCTTTTGCTAAGATAAGACTGATTTTGGCAAATAACATACTTTCTAAGAAAAGAGTGGGCGGGTGGGGGGGAGGTTACTACCTGATAAGATAAGACTGAATTTGACAAATGCTATCCTCTCTGAGAAAATAGAGGGCGGGTGGGCGGGGCTAGTACTTCAAGCGTAAGACTGAACAATATTAAAAGTGGTTAATAGAATGAAGTAGGTGGGCGGGGCTAGTGCTTGCTAATAAGACTGTTGAAAAAAGTTAATCTTACTTAACTTAAATAGTACAAAAAAAGTTACAGTTGCCGCTTTTTATTATTATTTTTTTTATATAACCTAGGTTCTATTAGTTCCCACTCTCACTTTACAGAAGCATATATCATTAACCCCACCCACCCACCCCACCTCTATTTAACTGATTAATTTATCTGATTAGAATGAAAAGTGCATATTATACTGAAGAGAAATAAAATTAGTGATTAGAATGTGAAAAGGCCGGGTGGGCGGGGCTAGCATTTGCTAAGATAGGACTGATTTTGGCAAATTACATACTTTCCAAGAAAATAATGGGCGGGTGGGCGGGGTTAGTACTTGCTAAGATAAGACTGATGTTGGCAAATGACTCCTCCTGAAAAAATACAGGGTGGGTGGGCGGGGCTAGTTCTTCAAAGATAAGACTAAACAATATTATGAGTGGTTACTAGACTGAAGTAGGTGGGCGGGGCTACTGCTTGCTCATAAGACTGTACGAAAAATTTAATCTTATTTAACTTAAATTCTACAAAAAAGTTACAATTGCTGCTTTTTAATTGTTTTTTTTTTTATATAACCTAGGTTCCATTAGTTTCCACTTTCATTCTACAGAAGAATATATAATTAACCCCGCCCACCCACCTCATCTCTATTTCACTGAATACTTATATCTGCGCAGTATGAAAAGTGCATATTATACTGATAAGAAATAAAATTAGTCGTTAGAATGTGAAGGGGGAGGGTGGGCGGGGTTAGTACTTGCTAAGATAAGACTAATTTTGGCAAATGACAAACTCTAAGAAAACAGAGGGCGGGTGGGGGGGGGGCTAATATTTGATAAGATTAGACTGAATTTGGCAAACGAACCCTTCTCAGAAAATACAGGGCGGGTGGGCGGGGCTAGTACTTCAAACATAAGACTGTAGAAAAAATGTAATCTTACTTAACTTAAATACTACAAAAAAAAGTTACAATTGCTGCTTTTAAATTTTTTTTATTTTAATATAACCTAGGTTCAATTAGTTCCTACTCTCATTCTACAGAAGAATATATAATTAACCCCGCCCACCCACCCCATCTCTATTTCACTGAATACTTATATCTGCTCAGAATGAAAAGTGCATATTATACTGAAAAGAAATAAAATTAGTTGTTAGAATGTGAAGAGGGAGGGTGGGCGGGGTTAGTACTTGCTAAGATAAGACTGATTTTGGCAAATGACAGACTCTAAGAAAACAGAGGGCGGGTGGGGGGGGGGCTAATACTTGATAAGATTAGACTGAATTTGGCAAATGACCCCGTCTGAGAAAATACAGGGCGGGTGGGCGGGGCTAGTACGTCAAACATAAGACTGTAGAAAAAAGTTAATCTTACTTAACTTAAATACTACAAAAAAGTTACCAATTGCTGGTTTTTATTATTATTTTTTTTAATATAACCTAGGTTCAATTAGTTCCCACTCTCATTCTACAGAAGAATATATAATTAACCCCGCCCACCCACCCCAACTCTATTTCACTGAATACTTATATCTGCTCAGAATGAAAAGTGCATATTATACTGAAAAGAAATAAAATTAGTTGTTAGAATGTGAAGAGGGAGGGTGGGCGGGGTTAGTACTTGTTAAGATAAGACTGATTTTGGCAAATGACAGACTCTCTAAGAAAACAGAGGGCGGGTGGGGCGGGGGGCTAGTACTTGATAAAATAAGACTGAATTTGGCAAATGACCCCTTCTGAGAAAATACAGGGCGGGTGGGCGGCACTAGTACTTCAAACATAAGACTGTAGAAAAAAGTTAATCTTACTTAACTTAAATAGTACAAAAAAAGTTACAATTGCCGCTTATTATTATTTTTTTTATATAACCTAGGTTCCATTAGTTCCCACTCTCATTCTATAGAAAAATATATAATGAACCCCGCCCACCCACCCCATCTCTATTTCACCGAATACTTTTATCTGCTCAGAATGAAAAGTTCATCTTATTTCCAATGCAAAATGATTTAATGATTCATCTCCAGTTTCATGAACGCTAATTTTTCAGTTCTACTATTAATTCGTTTTTCGACTTTGTGCTTTAGCAAGAGTTAATTGTTTAATGTTATCTTTTCTTTTTATTCCAATCAAGAAAAATTTGGAATGAGTTTTTCTGTTTCTCTATGAGTAGTTTTTGTTCTTTTGATTTCTGTTGAAATAAATTCATACTTCTTTTTCTGTTTTGTTATATCTCAATTTTCCGTGTTCTTACTTTCCCTTGTTTCTTGTTTTTGACTATATTTTCCAAATTTGCTTCATGTTGCTTTGTCCTCTTTTCATCTTCTTATGTTTTCTTGGTTTGTGTGTTGGACTAAAAGTTCCAACAGTTGTTTCAGATTTATTTGTTTTACCAACTTTTAACTTTGTCATCAGATTTTGTTTTGTTTCTCTGTATTCACTTTTTGCTAAATTTCTTCCTCTATAAATTCTTCCAAAGGCAATTTTTTCGTCTGAATTCTGTTATTTTTTCATTCCATGTACTTTTCTGATTTGTTTTTTTTTCTTTCTCAACTTCTGTCATTCTCTTATTTTCTATATTCATTTACAATTTTATTTCCAATGCAAAATAGTTTGATGATTCTTCTTCAGTTTAATTAACTGCAGTTCTCGACTTCTACGATTAATTCGTTCCTCAACTTTCTGTTCTTTTATAACTAAGTTGTTTCTCAATCTTTTGTGTTCTTTTTTCTTATTTCTCTCTAAATTTAATTCATGTTGTTTGCTTTTTTTCTCTTTTTTTTTTCTTGTTTTAATTTCTTTCATTCTCTTACTTCCTATATTAATTTTCAATTGAATTTCCGACGAAAAATGGTTTTACTTCTTCAAGGAAAATTTGGAAAACGTTTTCCTATTTCTTTATGGGTACTTTTTGTCTTTTTTTTGTTTCTCAATTTTTCGTGTTCTTCCTTTTTCTAATTTCCTTCATGTTATTTAGCCTTTTTTCCATCTTCTTATGTTATATATGTGAAGAGGGTATGTATGTTATTTCAGATTTCTTTGTAAAATGGTTTGATAATGCTGATTCTCCTTCAAGAAAAATTTGGAAATAGTTTATCTATTTCTCTAAGGGTACTTTTTGTCTTTTTGATTTCTGTTGATATAGATTTATAATTCCCTTTTCGTTTTCTTCCTTTTTCTTTGTTCTCTTCAAATTTGCTTCATGTTTTGTTGCATTTTTTCATCTTTTTACGTTATCTTAGTTTCTGCATGTTGTATGTTATTTCAGATTTCTTTGTTTTACCCACTTTTAATTTTATCATCAGAGGTTGTTTTGTTCCTCTGTACGCATTTTCTGATAAATTCCTTCCTCTATAAATTCTTTTCAAAGCTAGTTTTTTGACTGAATTCTACTGTTTTTTGTTCCATGTAGTCTTCTCATTTTTTGTTTGTCTTAACTTCTTCCACTCTTATTTTCTGTATTAATTTTCAATTTAACTTCCGAGGCAAAATGGTTTGGTAAAGATTCTTCTTCAAGGAAAATTTGGAAACAGTTTTTTTATTTCTTTATGAGTAGTTTTTGTCTTTTTGATATCTTTTGATATAGTTTTAGAATTCCTTTTCTGTTTCGTTGTTTCTCAATTTTTCGTGTTCTTGTTTTCCTTTTTTTCCATCTTCTTACGCTTTCTTTGTTTTACCCATCCGTATTTTTTCAATTTTTGTTTTTTCTTCTGAATTGTATTGTTTTTCGATTTGTGCATTTCCTTAATTCCGTTAATGTCATAGTTAATTAGTTCTTCTAAGTTGACAGTTCTTAATAATACACCTTTTAAATTTTCTTTCGTTAACATCATAGCTGTTTTATTTACTCTTTGGAATATTTTTTTGTTTAGCTCTTCTATCGATCTTCTTTTCCGTACTGGTGTTCCAATAGAATTTAAGTTTTTCCAAATGACGTCATCAAATTTTTAGACGGGACGAATCAGTTTTAATATTTAATCTATTATGTCTATGATCTCTTATCTATTTATCATTTTGAGAAGTTAGAATCCTTATCAAAGGAAGAAAGATTTAGTGATTTCGTAATTTGCATAAACAGTTTATTATCTTCAGGATAATTAAAAATAATAGGAGACTTTCATATTTTCGAAGTAATCGACTCGGAATACTACCAAACCACGGCAATCTAAAAATAAAATCCCTGTCGTGTTTCCGTGACAAATCAAAAATTACGGCGACAAACCAATAACAATAACCGCACGCTTTATCTCCGAACTTATGTCACCTAATTAATTTTCCGCCATAATTCCCCGATTACAAATCACCACCACCAATAAAACGCAAGCACCACTCTGTAGCCCCTTCACTCCACTTTTATCGCATCTCCACTTAGGGTGAATTCCCCTAAACGGGTCGCACCCGTCACTCGACTCGCACCCCTCGCCTGAAGACGCACCACCGATAGCGAAACCCGTCCGCTCGTTCCGCGTAGGCTCGCGATTGCCCACGACTTGATCGAAATGGGCGCGTTTCGGCCGCCATCGCCGGTGACGTTATAATTATATCTAGTGAATTTATATTTACTACAAAGTCGGGCGCTTTCACAGCAGTCGGAAGCCTCACCATAGCGCGAACCACGTGGACTGCGGCCGACATGGGAGCATCCGAGGGCGGAAGGGGCGCTGGGAGCCCTTCGCCCGCCTAGAACGCGTGTGAGTGAGTGCTCTTCGGTGGCGTGCTCTACGTCCTAGTGAGAAAGAGAAGAAACGCCCGTGCGTCGCGCGGTCTTTTCAAACCGCGATGTCTTCGTCGGACCTGGCCAAGACGGCCCGACAGCCCAGGAGCAGGAAGATCAGCAGGGTATGGACGGGGTTAGGCTTGGGGTGCTAGGGGTCGCGGAATGACGACCTTGCGGAAAGGGTACTGGTGGCGGTGCGGAATCCGGCTAAAAATAACCGCGGCTGTATTTTATTTTTTGGAATTTACATTCACTAGGTATTGTCACTTTCAAGCCCACGTTACGCAAAATTTCCATTAGGTGAAAATATCCGAAACGCCCACTCGGAGATGGAGTTGTGTTTCAAAAAAATGGGTGGAAAACACAGTTGCTCATTCATAATAAAAGTGTGATTTTTTTACACCAATTAAAACAATAATAACAACAATAAATCAATCTGTAATTTTATTTGAAGTGAATAATTAAAAACAAATTATTACAACTTTGATTAAGTGTTAAACGCGATGTATAACTATTTTGGTGATTTAGTGTGTCAACTTGTAAATATAAATTTTGAACTTTGACTTCCACGTTGTGTGCCACCATGTGATGAGTGCGTAAAAAAAAGAAAACTTAAATTCAAGCACACAAGTCAGGATTTTCTTTTTTATATTTAAAGAAATTGGTACCACGAGGTAATTTATTAATCAATTTTATAAAAGTTAAAAGTCTGAACTTATTAGATATGTTGGTAACATTTATTTTACATGTCACTTTCACATTGGCACACTTCTACATTATTATTTCGGCAAATACAATGAGTTTGCGTTTTAATTTAGAAAGACTCTTAAAAATTACACTAAACTGTTTTCGAAAATCCTTTTAAGGTTGCAATCGCCATTTTCAGAAGCTGGTATTTTAAATGGACTCATTGACCCGATTTCTTCAAAAGTTGTTGTGCATCACATCGTTTTCGTTCGAAATGTTGTCAATCAACTTCGATTATAAATTTTGATTTGTCAACAACTCGTCAGAGTTTTTTTTACATGTGAAAGAGATTTCAAGATGTCTAAAAATCAACCAACTATTGAAGTATTCTGGAAAAACGATTGGAATTTTGCATGAAATGCAGTGGAAAATAAACTTTGTAAATAGAAATCAACAAAATCTCTTCGGTTAATTTTCGAAAGTACTCGGAAAAACAATTTAGTTACGTCAACTCGAAATTTCGCGTAATAAATGCTATTTAAATTTAACAAATTAACGTACTCCTGTACTTGGTTTTGTTCATTTTTGTATGACGTTAAATATTGGTTCGACTGTACTTCAGAGGAGCGGAAAGTTCAGTGTGTATAACCTTAGATCAATTTTTTTCTAATTCAAGTACATAATTTGTAATTTTAAACAAACGCTATCCAGCTTTATAATGTTGAAAATGAGTAGATGCTAGATCATAATTTATAATATAATAATCCATAAGATTAACATCTTCAATCTTCTTGTAATTTTTAACAAATAATTGACGATTGTATTAGTCTCGAAATCTCCAAAATTACTGGACAGATTTCTCTGAATTTGTGGGTTAATTTTAAGATTGTCGTGTAGATCGTTTAACCCTAGTCAAACTTTGTTTCCTTATCCCCAACAACAAATTGATGACGTCACCTCAAAATTGTGATCAGTAAATCTTATTTAAATTTTTGATTTAATATTATTTTTTATCTTGGAAGTCTTCGAAAAAAATTAAATTGTGCAATAAAACTTTAGAACTTTAAAACTGTGGAACCAGTTGTTCTAAAAAATGTACTACATGCCTTGAAGTTACCATCAACCTGATAGATGGTTAAAATTTTGATAATTTTGATGTTACTTCAAAAAATTGCCCTTAAGTCTAATCCGAAATATTTTTTAAAAGTTTCAACATGAAGGGGTATACAAGGTTAATATACCGTGTGATTTGTAATCTAGTTACCCAAGAATTTATTGGCAGATTAAATTCGGTCAAAAGTGGTTATTAGTTTCCAATTATCGATTTCTCAATTTCTCGATTAATCGATATTTGATTTTTTGATTTTTCGATTTCTCGATTTTTCGATTTTTTTCACCTTTGTCAATTTCTTGATTTTTTAATGTTTCGATTTCACGATTTTTCAGTTTTTCAATTTTCCAACTTTCCGGTTTTTCAATTTTTCAATACATATTTCAATTTTGGAATTTTTCAATACACACTTCGATTAAAGTTTTTGATTTTTCGACTTTTCGATTCTTTGGTTTTTCGATTTCTCTCTCGATTTTCCAATTTTTTCCTTTTTCGAGCCCTCAATTTTCAATTTTTAAATTTAGATTCCTTGATTTTTCAAATTCTCGATTCTTCTGTTCTTTGATTTTTCAATTTTTCGACTTATCGGTTTTTACATTTTTCGATTTTTCAATTCTCCAATTTTTGGATTTTTTAGGTTTCAATTTTTCAGCTTTTCGATTTTTCATATTTAGGATTTTTCGATCCATTTTTTCTTCGTTTTCTCAATTTTTGGATTCTTCATTTTTTAGACTACTTAATTCTTTTTTTTTCAGTTTTTAAATTTTTCAATTTTTCGGTTTTTCAATTTTTCAGCTTTTCGATTTTTCACATTTAGGATTTTTCAGTTTTTCAATCCAATTTTTCTTCGATTTTTCAGTTTGTCGATATGTCAGTTTTGGGTCGTTTCAATTTTTGGGTTCTTCAATTTTTCGACTTCTAGATGTTTCGATTTCTCGATTCTTTACTTTTTCGATTTTTCAATTTTTAAATTTTAGATTTCGTGATTTTTTATTTTTTCGATGTTTTAATTATTCGATTTTTTGAAATTTTGGTTTTCGATTTTTCAGTTCTTCAGTTTCTTTTTTCGATTTCTCGATCTTTCGATTTTTTGACTTATCGGTTTTAGATTTTCCGATTTTTCAAATTTTCGATTAAATTTCTCTTCGATTCATCAATTTTTCGACTCCGATTTTTCGATTTTTGAATTTTAGATGTTTCGATTTTTTTCGTATTTTTCATTTCTTGACTTTTTAAATATTTTGATTTCTTGACTTTTCGGATTCGCAATTTTTCAGTTTTTCAATTCTCTAACTTTTCAATTTTTCAGGTCTTCGATTTCTCAATTTTTCAATGTTTCAGTTTTGGGATTTTTCAATTTTTCGATTAAATTTTTCTTCAATTTTTCGACTTTTCGATTTCTCGATTCTTTAATTTTTCGATTTCTCTACCGATTCTTTTCAATTCTTCAATTCGATATTTTTATTTTTCATCTTTTAAATTTCAGATTTTTGAAATTCTCATTTTTCAGTTCTTGGATTTTTCTGTTTTTCGATTTTTAAAGTTTCTAATTTTTCAAATTTTTTAATTTTTCGATACAATTTTTCTTCGATATTTTAATTTTTCGTTATTTCAGTTTTGGGTTTTTCAGTATTTCGTTCTTCAATATTTCGACTTTTCAATCGTTAGATTTTTCGATTTTTTTCTTCGATTTTTCAATTTTTCAATACATGTTTCGATTCTTCGATTTTTCGACTTTGATTTTTCCATCCTTTGCTTTTTCGATTTTCAATTTTTCGATATTTTAAAGTCTTGATTCCTCCATTTTTCAGTTTTTCAATATATAAATTTTTCAATTTTTAAAATTCTAGGACCCGATTTATAGAAAGCGACGTTAAAGTTAATTCGCGATTAACTTTTAACTGAGGTCCGTTGCGAGGCAACGCGCATATTTTAACCAATCACGGGCTCATATTCCACATTTTAATTCTCTGTTAAACTAATCGAGGATTAAATATTTAACTCGCTGTTCTATAAACCGGCCCTTAATATTTCTATTTCTCGATTTTTAGATTTTTCAGTTCTTCTATTTTTATATTTTTTAATTTTTCGAATTTTTGAATTTTATATATTCCAGTTTCGGTTTCTTGATCTATCGATCTTCCGATTTTAGATTTTTCAATTTTTCAATTTTTTTTGTCGGTTTTTAATTTCTTTGATTTTTTAGTTTTTCAATTTTTTGGAAATTTTGAATTTAAGATTTTCCAGTTTTTTTGTTTCGATTTCTCGATCTTTTGATTTTTCGACTTTCGGTTTTTCAGTTTTCTGATTTTTCAGTTTTTCGCTATTTCAATTCCCCGATTTTTCGATTTTTCAAGTTTTTGAGTAATCAATTTTTCGATTTTTCACTTTTTCGATGTTTCAAGTTTTAAATTTTCCAATTTTTCGATTCAATTTTTCTTCGATTTTTCAATTTTTCGATGTATCAATGTTGGGATTTTTCAATATTTCGATAATTTTTCGATTTTGATTTCTCATCTTTTACTTTTTCGATTTTTCAAATTTTAAATTTTAGATTTTTCGATTTTTCAGTTCTCCAATTTTTTGTTTCGATTTTTCGATCGATGTATCGGTTTCAGATTTTTCGGTTTTTTAATTTTCCATCAATTTTTCGACTTCGATTTTTCGATCCTTTACTTTTCGATTTTTAAATCTTTTGATATTTCGATTTCTCCATCTTTTGATTTTTCGACACATCGGTTTTACATTTTTCAATTTTTAAAATTCTTGATTTTGCGATTTTTCAAATTTTCGGTTTATAAATTTTTCCATTTTTCAGTTTTTCGATTTTTTAATTTCTCGGTATCGAGATTTCCATGTTTCGATTGTTTAATTTCTTGATTTTTCGATTTTGGACCATTTCGAATTCTCAGTTTTACGATTTTTCGACTTTTCGAGATTTTTCAATTTTTCAATTTTTAGATAATTCAGTTGTGGGATTTTTCAGTACATCTTTCGATTCTTCAATTTTTCAACTTTTCGATTTCTTCATTCTTTAATTTTTCGATTTCTCTCTCAATTCTTTTACATTTTCAATTTTCCAATTCTTTACTTTTTCGAGTCCTCAATTTTGAAATTTTCTATGTCTTGATTTTTCTCAATTTTTCGATTTTTCAATTTTTCGTTATTTTAACTTTTTAAATTTTTCTATTTTTTTAATTTTAAAATTTTTAAGATTTTCCAGTATTTTTGTTTCGATTTCTCGATCTTTCGATTTTTCGACTTCTCGGTTTAAAATTTTTCATTAAACAGTTTTTCGATTTTTGGATCCAATTTTGCTTCGAT